CCGACAAACACTCTCAACACCATGATTTGCCTCTCAAAATGCGGTAAATTGCGTTTTTGAAGGCTTAAAAATCCTAAATTTCCCGGGGGAGCATCCCCCGGACCCCCTAGATTACGAGCGTCCTCTCAAAATCCTAAGACTGAAAACATGCAAGCTGGCCGACGTCGACTCGGACTCACCTTTATTTGTGGACGCACTCGGGGACCAGGGCAGGTGGGAAACACAGGGAACACATACTTTAATGCATGCTTCATTACATGTAATGTATACGTAATTTTGTCAGTGATCACCTTTCTCACAAAGCAAGATACTAAATCCAGTGCAGCTCGAAAAAAAGCCTGTCAATTTACCGTTAAGCGTTGCCGACCCTCCTGAATTTACCGTTAAGCGTTATCGGCCCTGCTGAATTTTCCGTTAACCGTTGCCAGGACCCCCCCATGCAGACCCTCTGTAATGTGTTGTGATAGGCTTGGGGTTTGTGTTTCTTCTTTGACCCAAGAATAGCCTGGATGCCAGACTGCTTTCAGGGCCTACACAGGCCAGTTCCTCGGCTCCCCCAAGGAAATTTTACCACGGCCTTACACACTTAGAACTGGGACTTGGTAAAACTTCCCTGGGGGCAGTTGGCCCTAGAACCGAGGAGCTGGCCTGTGTAGGCACTGGAAGCCAGCAGTCTGGCATACAGATTATCAAGTACTAGAGGATGTTCTTATCAAACACTGACTGCGATTCTAATTATTTTCAAGTGGGAGGACCTCCGCGAAGCTCGAACAGTAACATGCGGCATGCAATGATTTATATCTAGACTACTAGCCTGGTAATTACCAGGCATTCATACTCTCCAAGCAGAGGTTTAGGCTTCGACTTATTTTTATTTGACGTATTTTGGGCGTTTTTATTGGGCTTTCCTTCTTGTGCTGGTGTCTTTTTTACTGTCTGGCAATATTGGATACTGCCTGTCCGATTTGACATGTTTGATGCTGTCTGGTAGCAAGGAGGTGAAATACAAGTATTTAACCTCCTTGCTGGTAGCAGCCAAATAAGATCGCTACTCTCCAATCAGACGTTTCAATGAATTCGAAGTCTTTTTATCGCGGGCTTTTTTACTTGTATCTTTTTTCGGCATATTGGACTCTGCCCTGCCAGGCTGCCAATGATGTTGAATTTGATTATGTCTTGCAGCATAAGTATCTGCTTTGAGATTATACGATGGCTTCCCTGACAAATACGAGAGAAGGGGGGCGAATAGAATAGGTTACAGGAAATAGAAACCTTCGTCAATGCGTTTTTTTTTCATACAAGCAAAGAGGTTATAACCTCCTTGTTCAAAGCTAAACTAAACTAAACTAAACATGACCACAATGCATGCGATATATTTGTGGGGGGGGGGCGTTTTTAAAGTCAAAACACCCACACACAAATTTATCGCATGCATTATACAATTTAAAGAGATCATCGTCCACTTGACACTTGTGGTGTGGAGAAGTCCTTTCTTTGTAATGAAAATAAACCAGTAGTAAAGTCATCAAATAAAAGTCATCAAATAAAAGTGGGATATATTTGTGTGGGGGCGTTTTTAAAGTCAAAACCCCCACACACAAATTTATCGCATGCATTATAATTGAAAGAGATCATCGTCCATTTGACACTTGTGGTATGGAGAAGCAGATTTGTGCTAATATTGGTGATAGGACTTTGTATGGGCTTTCTTTGTAATTGAAACAAACTAGTAGTAAAGTCATCAAATAAAAGTTATCATGCATGTATCTTGTCAATGTGTTTTATGCTCGTTGTATGTTTTTGAGTAGAAGGTGTTCTGCTTTTTGCCCAATACTCAATACATATATGTGAATAAATAAATGAATAAAAGTTATCAAATAAAAGGATGACGTAACAGAATGTCTTTATTCATTTGTTTCTGATGAATCATGATAAGAACACAAAAGTAGTCAAATCACAGACATAGCAGTATCTGTTTTCACAGTTCTTTCTTCCACAGCTGTGTTGATGCCATTTAAACATCCTTACGCTTGCAATGTAAAAGAAAGAAGCGTGAAAACAAGCAAACTTCAAGCCTCAAACAAACAAATTTCTAGTTGCGTTACTACATTCTTACAAGAACAGTTTGTTCTTGTCCTATTGTTCGGTGTTGTCATTATTATCAGCGTAACATCGTAGAAATACTTGATCCACCCAAAAAGTTCTAAATGCATTTTGATGTGCAAGGCCGGAAAGCGTGTTTCAAAGAGAGTGCTGTATCCAACTACCGATCTCAAAGCCCCGCCCCCTCCGTCAAAAGTAGCAAATTATGCAAGGTAAAACATAACAAATATTTGATGGACATGCGTCTACTATCTCGTTGGTCGAACTAGTTCTATCATTGGTTGAACTGTGATGGACAGTCAGGACCTGTCTAACAATAACAGAATAAGGTCGTCCGATGTTTGCCAAAGCTTTTTGGCGGGTGACGTTTTTAGCCGTCAGAACATTGCCAGTGTTTTCTTTGTCGTCTGTCACCTTCTTTTAAGCCCAACTTTGGCAACGAATTCCTCTGGGAGCCTGCCGTTTAGTCTGACGTTCTCCAGATCGCTTCTAGTACATTCTTCTTGACGCCTTTTGACGTCACTCATGACCAGGTTTCCCGCCAAAACACTATGTTTAAGAGCTGTACATCATCACCCGAGACAATGCACATTTTTTTTCTTTGGAAAACAGTTAAAATGGAACACATAAGGAAGACAAAAGTTACCTTCAAGTTTTTAAGAGGAAAAATATCAGAAAATATTAGTACATCTGCATTTGTGATCATTCTGCTGTTACGCCACACGACCCCACAATTAAATGTTCATGTATCAAAAACAGACATGTACATAAAGCCTAAATGGTATTTACAATCAAGGAACAAATAAAACCCACATGTACATGAGTAAAAAATTGAAACAAACACTGCCATGACATTGGTGATGAGTGATGACCATCACTTTTTACGGGATAACTTGTATTGTCTGGTTGTACAGTTTGATGGATTTGTGAAGAAAGATCCTGCCAACAACTGGCTCTAGCCGGTTCTACGTGACACGGAATGACCGGTCACCAAAAGCCGTGTGTCAAACAGCAGTTCGTCATCATGAGCATGTTCAGTCACGCAGCAGGAAAGTTTAGTACACTGTTTGTTTATTTCTCACAAATTCAAACATAAATACATCGGCGTAATGTTTGTTACAGCAGTTGTGAGTCACGTACTGTACAAAGTAGAAAAAAAACATTTTGTAGATCTATGTACACAACATTAGAAATCTGGAAATAGGAAACGTCACATGAAATGACTCCATCCTAACATCTGCTTGAAGATTTGGCGAAGAGGAGTGCAAACATTACATTACATTATATTCATGGTGCAGCTTCAAGAAGATTCGCTAGGAGCGCGATTTCAACGGTGCGCATTTCAACATTCAAGCAGATGTGAGGCGTTTTTTATTCTTTAACGAGGGCTTTTGTTTGATGTCACAAATACACACAAAATTTCGGAAATGTGCTTGAAGTTTGTGAACCGAAAAGTGTTTGATGGGTCTAGAAAAGTTACAGTCCACACTGTAGCTGACGTTTCAAATCCATTAATGTGTAATCTCCAAGCAGATGCGCGGTGTCGGTTTGCACGGCTGGGCGCCAAAAGTGAAAAGAAGCAAGATTTGAAATATTTACTAAACTAGCAGAAAGTCATCCATAGCGGGGCCGAAATCAGGCATATGGTCGAAGATTATCGTGCACAATTTGATGATGTCTTTGCAGCCACAAAAAGATCTGCTTGGAGATTTCGAAGATTATACAACGTTGACTGATGCTTTCATAAGTGATGACGTTTTTGAGCCGCTACGATTTAATCATGGGCACGTGTGGGACCCTGTATGCCGGTTCCCGGGCCCGGTGCCGGTGCGGAGAGGTACGGGGCCGGCGGGACACCTCCCCCTTTCATATTTGCGCCGAAAATAAATCACTTTCAGGAGACCGGAACGGGAAGGTGTTTACATGTAATTTACAGGCCATTTGCAGACGGGGACGGGTCCATTCGGCAAGGAAGGCCGATTTCATCATCTTCTGAAGGACGGATTTATTGAATAACCTCCACCAGGCCTTCCTAAACCGTTAGGAATAGCCACTACCAGGCTTCGGGAAATTAGAGTAGAGATTGGCTTAATACGCGTTTCGTATGTAGAGATGTTGATTTCTGCTTGTATGTAGAACTAGTGTTGATTTCTTGATTTCGACCATTCACAGCTATGTATTTATTTATTGAGCATTAGCGTTTTCCTATGAGTCTTTTATGGTTTGTAGTATGACGCAATCACGCAACCACATAGTTTTAGTGACTCGTTCCCAGGTTTCGACATCAGGGGCTAAAATAGAGATTAACCGAATCCCGGTATAGTGGAAATATTTCGCTAACAATCACCCCTTGCACACCCCTCTTCTTGCTCGTAAGTTTATATTGTTCCAATTCTTATAAATTTAATTTTCTTGTGGACAATATACGAGATCTTGATCGTACTACGACAGAAGTACGAAGAAGTGCAGTACACAATCATCCACTATGTGAGACTCCTTTGAAGCTCCTTTGTTTTTATGCTGGTTCGGTCAACAAAATCTTATATTGTGAATACAGTAAACTGAAAGAGACGAATGAATGATTGAAAGAACGAAAAAGTGAAACGTGTCCCTTGCACCTATGCCTACGTTTTCAATCAAGAGAGTTCTGCACACGACTCGCACAAAGTAGACTGTTGTTGCAATTCACAAATCGCCAGAGGTCGCTGCTACACGGTCCATCTGTGGGATAGTGTCAATACGTTTCACCGACGTCAGGGCGCTTTGCGCTGAATGGGGCGCATATTTCCAACTCTAACCCTAATCATAACTTCAATTCTAACCATAGCGATAACCAAAACAACGGCTAAAAAATGGACGGCGAAACATAACAGGAAATGTTGCTGTGAGCAACTTAATTTAGTATTTTGTACAAAGGTTCATCACAAACTAAAGGCCAATGTGCAACTTCATTACTACGGTTACGTCATGGTTACGTCAGCCACAGGTAAATGGGACCCTGCAGTTTGCAGGCAAATCGCCAGAGGTCACTGCTACACCCTCCACCAGCCAGGTTTCGTCCTGACGTTTCGCCGACGTCAGGATGTTTTGCAGTCAAGGGAACGACTATTTCATACTCTAACACTAATTAATTCTAACAAGAGCGATAATCACAACAACAAAATTTCAGCTAAAAACATGGGACGGCAAACCATAACAGGAAACCGCAATTTCGGCGGCGTTTTCGAGAATGTTGCTACGAAGTGTATGGCTGAGTCAGCTGATACAGGCTATCACTTCATTTTAGATAATATCACGGCCAAGCCTGTACAAGGCTATCAGCCCCTTTGAGTGTTCCACGGTCAGTTAACATTCAATCCTTCTGAATCGCCGCAAGGTCAGGCTGTTCCAGGCTACGAGATCCTTCTGAAAAGCCGCACGCTCAAGCCTGTTCCTGGTGCTGACCTTGGTGCTGATCAAGAGAAGAGTGTGATAAATCGCTAGAGGTCGCTGCTGCATGGTCTACCATTGTTGATCTCCAGTGCAGTGATTCATATGCAAATCGTATTTTCTACCACTGTACTGTTGTAATTCACTGTGCAATTCGTCTGCGTGATTATATTTGTTTTCACCCCAATTTATGGTTGTCCCTTATGCTTGTCTGCTCTCTTAACTCGGTGTACGGAAGGTCGGTGGTCCTCTAATCCCGCTAAATGCTCCAAAACGCGCCCAATTCTGCCATGTCACGCACAAAACACAACCGGGCCGCCATGTTTGTTTACATGTTCGGTGGTGCTTTTGGAGTTTCAAAGGAGTCTCACATAGGGGATGATTGCGTACTGCACTTCTTCGTACTTCTATCAGAGGACGATCAAGATCTCGTATATTGTCTGAAAGAAATTAAATTTGTAAGAATCGGAACAATATAAACTTACGAGCAAGATGAGGGGTGTGCAAGGGGTGATAGTTGGCGAAATATTCCACTATACCGGGATACGGTAAATCCTTATTTTAGCCCCTGATGTCGAAACCTGGGAACGAGTCGCTAACACACGTGGTTGTACTCTCCAAGCAGATGATTGGGTTTGGGGTTATTTTTGGCGTGTTTTTAGGCATTTTCATCGGGTTAATCTTTTGCACTGGAATTTTTTTAAAATAACCCCAAACCCAAACCTCTGCTTGGAGAGTAATGTGGTTGCGTGATTGCGTCATACTACAAACCATAAAAGACTTACAGGAAAACGCTAATGCTCAATAAATAATCACATAGCTGTGAATGGTCGAAATCAACATTTCTACATTCAAACAGACAATGGTCTAATTTGACAACGTTAATTCATATTTCAGTTGACGAAGCTGTATAGACTTGTAATTGTGCGCTTTCTTAAAATTCTTTTAGCTTCCTCTTCATATTTCAATGTGAAGTCTTGAACAAAGATAACTGTTAACCGTTCAAAAAGATTTACTTAATACTATAATAGTACATTCGCGGCACAAATTTTGCCGAACGTAGACTGAGAATAACAACAATATAATAACGTCATAACATAATGACAATGGAACCACGCTGAAGCATCGCAAAGTTGTCTATGGCGCATCTCAAGGTCAACATCAAAGGTATTGTCACATCACGTTCTGGAACGGCATTATATATAGTAACCACGTTGTAGAACAACAAAACACAACATTGCATATAGCCACAGAGAACCGTATTAGTATTACGGTGCTAAACTTGCGGTGTTTGAAACCGTTAATAATAACCATTTTACTTGAGAAAAATGGATCGCAGTCGACCGAATGTCTTTCACAGAGGCGCGGCCGCCTTTCTGGCGTGTTTCCAGACCCTTACCCTGCTGGGGAGAAACAGAGACGGCGGCCGCGGAGCAAACCTGAGTGTGGGAATCCACACCGTCAGTGTGGCAGAAAAGGCGAAGTATCGCTTGGTGATCTGCTACAACAAGAAGAAACGCCGAACGGCCTGGAAGAAAGTCGCCACCCATGACTGGGACTTTACAGCTGAGTTCGCAGATTCTGTACCAGAAGAGAAGAAAAAGGTGAGAGTCGAGTTGCAGAGAAAGAAGAAATGTAAAGTGAAAACGATCGGGGTTACTACCCTGGACCCTACTCGGGCACTACAGGAAGACGGGCCAGTACTGGTGAAGGATTGGTATGTCTTCGATCCACCCAAGAAGGGACGACAAGACAAGAACGTGTCTTTACTGGAGGCGACCGTAGCTGTGAAGGGTCTCAAAGTGGAAAGGAAAACCACACAGGAGACAGGTATGAGGAGTCTACTCTATTTTCTGAAGTTCTGAATGTTTGTTTGTTTGTTGACGCCCAGACCTTTAGGTTGCCACGAACTTTTACAATGTTTATATCAACTTTAAGGTATCGCTGTGGTCATGGGACTAGTAATTATCCACAAAGAAACAGTGGTTTGATGCATATAAAAACATAAAATATGTTTTGACAATTTCCGTTCAGGCCCCACTCCGCCTTCTAAGGAGAACGCCAAACCTGAAGTCCGCCCGGAGAGCTCAGCTGAGCTGAAGGCCCGTGATGTGACAGCAGAGACCACCTGTCAGGCGGCTGGTGCAGAGAAACTGGACACGAGCGTCCAGGACAAGCTCCCAGCGCCATCTAGCGGAGACAACACAGAGTGTAGACCTGCGTCGACAGGTGCAACAAGCGGCTCCCCGAGTTCAACCACAACGAACGGAGCCGGGGATGTCAAACCGAGCCGGATTCGTACGTTATTCGGCTTTGTCGCAAAGAAGAAGAGTGAGACGATCAAGTCCACTGATGAAGGAGGTAGGACATGTGGACATGTTTGATGTACCGTAGTTTCTGAACTCTGCCCGAAATGTTTCTGTCCGTTGAAGCTTGGTACAAACATTTTTAGACCGTATTCTGTTGTAAAGGGTTCGATGGCAAGTTCGACGAGTTCGATTTTCGAAATTCTGAGTTCGATGAGTAAAGAAAGAAGCCTCGTTGGGAAATCATGAAGACATTCTTGTCTATCTTCAAGTTGATGTTTATAAAGTAGATTACTTTCAATTCCAAGATCCTGTTGGTACAGCATTAGAAACAAGAGTTCAATGAACACATACCTTCGGCACACAATAGTCTTAGTTACTATGGAAATAACATACCAGTAGGAAAAGTAACAACCAGTGACTAAAGATGTGCTTAAATTTTCTATCTAAGATTCCACAAAGCCTTCTGACAAGACGAAGGAAGAAAAAGTTGTAACTGAAGAAGGACCAAAGAACTCCTTGGAGCAAAAGGAGTCGAAGACACCCTCCCAGACAACTGAGGGAGAGACTGAACTGAGCAAGAGTGGATCCGGACGGGATGAGCCTACATCGCCCTCTAGCGGAGACAGCGCACACTGCAAGCCTACGGCTTCAGCTCCTAATGGCTCAACAACTGCCTCGCCAAGTTCTACTTCAACAACAACACAGACCCTGGCAAATGGTGAGGAGGATGTGAGGCCAGGCCGGATCTATAAGCTGTTCGGCTTCATCGCAAGGAAGGAAGACGGGACGACAAAGTCTGCCCAGGGAGAAGGTAGGAGATGTTTAATGTATGTTCTTTATTTACCACAGCATTAGAAACAAGAGTTCAACGAATCCACACCTTTGCCACACAATAGTCTATATAGACAAAGTATTAAACAACCAGCAACTAAGATGTGCTAAATTTTCTATCTAAGGTTCCACAAAGTCTCCTGACAAGACAAATGAAGAAAAAGGTGTAACTGAAGATGGACCAAAGAACTCCTTGGATCAAAAGGAGTCGAAGACCACCTCCCAGACAACTGAGGGAGAGACTGAAGTGGACAAGAGCGGATGGGATGAGCCTACATCGCCCTCTAGCAGAGACAGCACACACTGCAAGCCTACGGCTTCAGCTCCAAATGGCTCAACAACTGTCTCGCCAAGTTCTGCTTCAACACCAACAGAGACCCCCACAAATAAAGAGAGGGATGTGAGCCTAAGCCGGGTCCGACAGTTGTTTAGCTTCATCTCAAAGAAGGGCGGAGGGACGGCAAAGTCTGCCCAGGGAGAAGGTAGGAGAAGTCAAGATTTTATTGTAGTAGTGGTATAGTAATAGTAGTAGTAGCAGCAGTGCAGCACTAGTATAGTGTTAGGGCATGTTAGTTGTCGGTGTGGGCAAAACTCGTAGCAAAGTTTTCTGTCCTTTTCTGTTGGTATGGAATTACTAAATCAGTGACTACAGACTTCAGCTAATCATTTATATTTAAGGGTTATTTGAAATGCCTTTAGTGCCTGTAGCGAGGGTCATGGCAATGTTGAGTGTGTTATTTTCTATTTAGGTTGCACAGACGCTTCTGACGCTACAAACGAAGAAACAGTTGCCATTGAAGGCCAGCTGAAGAGCTCCTCAGACAAGAAGGAGTCTCAACTTGCCCTGAAGACCACCTCCCAGACAAATGAGGGAGAGACTGAACTGGACAAGAGTGGACGTGATGAGCCTACATCGCCCTCTGGCGGAGACAGCTCACACTGCAAGCCTACGGCTTCAGCTCCAAATGGCTCAACAACGACTGCCTCACCAAGCTCTACTTCAACAACAACTCAGACCCCGGCAAATGGAGAGGGGGATGTGAGCCTGAGCCGAGTCCGACAGTTGTTCGGCTTCATTGCAAAGAAGGGAGGAGGGACGACAAAGTCTGCCGAGGGAGAAGGTAGGAGATGTCTACTGTACATGTAACTGTTAGCAAAGTTTTGTAGATTTCTCAATTTTCTGTTGGTATGGAATTACTAAATCAGTGACTACAGACTTCAGCTAATCATTTATATTTATGCGTTTGAAACGCCTGAGGTGCTTGTAGCAACGGTCATGGCAATTGAGTGTGTTATTTCCTATTTAGCAGATGCTTCTAACGCTACAAACGAAGAAACAGTTGCCATTGAAGGCCAACTGAAGAGCTCCTCAGACAAGAAGGAGTCTCAACTTGCCCCGAAGTCCGCGTCCCAGAAAACTGAGGGAGAAACTGAACTGGACAAGAGTGGACGAGATGAGCCTACATCGCCCTCTGGCGGAGACAGCGCACACTGCAAGCCTACGGCTCCAAATGGCTCAACAACTGCCTCACCAAGCTCTACTTCAACAACAAAGACCCCAGCAAATGGTGAGGAGGATGTGAGGCCAAGCCGGATCTATAAGCTGTTCGGCTTCATCACAAAGAAGGAAGGCGGGATGACAAAGTCTGCTCAGGGAGAAGGTAGGAGATGTCTAATGTATGTTCTTTATATATAATACTGCGTGTTTGGATTAATCAGCGACTAGACTTCAGCTAATCATTTAACATGTTTATGTGTCATTTGAAATGCTTTTACTGAAGTTTTTAGTACCTGCAGCTGAGTGTGTTATTTCCTATTTAGCAGAGGCTTCTGACGCTACAAACGAAGAAACAGTTGCCATTGAAGGCCAGCTAAAGAGCTCCTCAGACAAGAAGGAGTCTCAACTTGCCCCGAAGACCGCCGTACAGACAGCTGAGGAAGAGAAACCGGGCGAGACCGGCCAGGACAAGCCTACAGTGCCCCCTTGCGGATGTGTGGAGTGCACAAAGCTAAAATCTGCGACTTCATCGACAAACAGCTCTACGTCACTCTCGCCAACTATCTCAGCAACAGACAAGTCTCTCACAAACGGAGACGGCGATGCCGGCCATGCCAAACCAAAGAGCGAGCGTCCATCCAGGTTTCGCCAGTTGGTCAGCTTTATGAAAAAGGACAACAGCAAGGCCACAGCCGATCAACCCCCACCACAGTTCACTGACCCGCTATGCCTTGACATGATGTCCTGCATTCGTGAACTATGGGAAGACCTGATTCCCAAGAGAGCGTATTCCAAAGAGTTGTTCGACTATGCCAACACTCTCATGGCTAAGCTGGAGGCTGCCGCCCCACATACAAAGGAGAACACCATCCTCAAGAACCTGTTTGCTAAGGTTCCAGACTACACTCACTACGAGCTGCCTGAGATGGAAGGTTTGAGCCTACAGGAACTGAACCAGATTCACAAGACAACTGAGTGTCTATTGGATGAAGAGGACAGGCGGGCTACGTTCATCAGGCGATGGTTGATCGACGACATCTGTCGGGTGGCCTTGGAGGAGGCACCAAAGGTTCTAGAGTCAACAGGACCGCCCTGAAGTTGTGTGCAGGGCTGAAGTAATGCAGTCATAAATCTCTGCACAACTGAATCGTCTGCACAGTTGACTTCTTTCATGGTTGTTAAACTGTTTCATGGTTGTTAAACTTTAACATTATGCCACAAAAGTACCATAATAAGTAACAAGCAAAGCAGGCATACCTGGAGGAAAAATATTATGCCATTTCTGTTTGGTTATGGCAACTGTGTTATCTAAAAAGAAACAAAATGCAGTAATTGTTGCATACCACAGTTTGCATGTCGATTTTGCCTTATGCCTTGTAACTTATGATCTAGCCTTACCCATCACACAAAACTGACAACCGTTAAACCAGGTTTGTTTGGCAGTTGTTTTTCTGCCTCTAGCTCTATTCAGGGCTTGGTTTTTGAAAATAAGATGAAAATAATAAAAAAAAAGTTGTTCCCTTTACTTGGCTGCTGTATTGTATTAGTCACTTGTCTTCTGTTCACATCATATGATACGGTAACTTTGTTGACTCTTGTTGTCAAGTATAGCTAAGTTATCATTGCAGACAAAAAAACGACACAATTGCATCTATACGTAATCTTAAATAGGGAAGAGTTAGTATACCTCATTCTTGAAAAAAGAACACTCACCAAGATTTTGTTGTGACATTTTGTATGTATTGTTTAAGTTGGCAAAGTTAACTTCATTGTCATATTACACAAGTCACTGGTGTCTGCTAGGGACAAACCATTACATGTTGGTGGGGGGCAGGTACAAGTATTGTGAAAATACACAGTAGTAACAAAAACTGTACAGTATGGGCCATGAAAGTAACGTATGAGCATTAAGTTATGAAATAGAGAATACATAGGCAAGAAACAATCATATGCAGAAAATTATGACCAAGAAATAAATCGGCATCAGCTGTTCAAACACACCCCATGGTCCTCAATGGTACACTCCTGGTGTATATACAATGTAGATGAGTGATCTTGATTTCAGTCAGAAAATACAGCATCAACTTCATAGTGCACCCCCCTCCCCATCATCTCAAATCCACCACCATTTTAACTACATTCAAAGAATTCTAGGCACACAAAACTGTATTCATACACATGTAGTTAATAGCAGAGTACACTTACAAAGTAGCTATAATTGACCAAGGAATATACAGAACAGCAGTATTTGCAAAGAGGTAGACCTCTATTCAGTGCAAAATGCCAAACTTAGTTTGGAGAATATCAGGAGTTACTGTAGTTTTGTGACTGTGTATCAGCTGGGATGTCTACCGACCTGTATGCCTGAGTTTCACAGGATATTCTGCCACAGGAATCATCCTGCCACTTGCTACATAATGTAAGCCTACAACATTGGGTCTGCTACAGCAACAGCTTTGCTTGTGGGGTGGTCAGACTTGTCGTAAGTCACTGTATGATTTTGATGGCATAGAATTGCCAAGCAGGCAGTGACAACCTTTTCGTTACAAGACAGCTGAATTTTGCATGACACATGCGTGACTGTCCCAGTTTGCGATCATACAACGATCGTACAATACCAGTATATGACACTGGGCCCATATCATGACTTATGGCAGTATATGTCACATTTGGTATCTTACATGTTGTGCTTACAATTGAGCTTTATTAACCTTCTCCCTGCTGCTTAACCCCATAACCTATACAAATTATGTGCCAAACGGCAACTATATCAGGCTGAAGGTTAACTGTAGAGACCTAGTGTGTTTTATCTTCTACGTCTGGAGTCATATTCATCCCTATCCATCTCCCTCCTGTCATACTCATCCCTTTCTACTTCTCTCCTTCTATCACTCCTTCCTCTGTCCCTTTCACTGTATTTATCAGCGTACTGCTCTTCGTACTTGCGTTTATTGCGTCTGGGTTCGGGTGACTTGGAGCTGCGAGCGCGCCGGGTTTTCCTTGTCCTCACCTCTGTCTCGGTAGTCCCGCCCTCGTTCCTCCTCATTTCTCCCCTCCCTCTATCATATGTCTCTTCCACTTCTTCCTCTCTAGCCTTCCTCGTTCGTCCATCCTCTCTCCCCCTCTCTCTGTCATAGGAATCGTAATAATCCTCCCTTTCCTCCACCCTTCTCCCTCTCCCCTCCCGAGGGTATTCATTCCTCTCTTCCTCGCTTCTCCTTCCCCCTCGTTCCTCGTATCTCTCCCTCCGGCTCTCTTCTATTCTTCTATCCTCCCCCCTCCCCCAATCCCTGCTGTCATCCTGCTCTCTCTCATCTCTTCTCTCCCTTCCGGACCTGCCTGTCTCTCGTTCTGTTCTCTCTTCCCTCCCTCGTTCCCTACTTCTCTCCCCCCACTCTCTCTCCCTCCCTCGATCGTAGTCTCTGTTCCTGTCGCCCTCCCACTCGTCTCCCCTCCCTCTCCGCTGCTCCCTCCTTCTGTCTTCTCTCTCTCCGTCCTCTCTCCAGGCTCTTTGGTCCTCTTCTCGGTACTTGACCACGTCCCTCCCCCGGTGGTCGCGTGGTTCGTACCTCTCCTCGTCTCTTTCATCCGGCGCGTCGTAATCGTAGTACGGCTGGTCCCGTCTCCGTACGAACTCCCGCTCCTGGTACTGCTCCCTCTCTCTGTAGTCACGTTCCTCTTCCCGCGCCCGATCGTAGCGGTCGTTTCTTGTCTCCGTTTCTCTTCTTTGCGTAGCCTTGGGAGGTTCCCTGTTCCTGGCAGTGTCAGGACTTGGGGTGTCTTTTCTTCTCTTCCCCTTGTCCTTGTCTTGTCTTACTGTCTCCCTTTTATCTTTGGCTTTCTTTTTCTTCTTCTTTTTGTCGTCTTCTGAGTCAGAATCCGAAGAACTCCCTGATGAAGGAACAATCAATATATTGATACTAGATACTAACACTGTTTATTTCATGACTTATCCATCTTTCTCCACATTTTCATGATACTGTACACGAAAAAGTGTCTAAACAACATGGCTTATGAACAGTTTTTACAGCAGAAAGCAAAGACAAAAGAACAATAAAACTGACTTGAAACTACTAGTAATGACACAATATTAAACACAATTTACTGGTTTTACAATGATCATGGCATTGGTCTATTACAGGTTAGGATGGTCAATGGCTAAAGGTTAGAAGGTCAATGGCTAAAGGTTTGGAAGTTGATGGCTAAAGTTTAGGTCAATAGCTAAAGGTTCAAAGGCTGTAGGTTAGGCCTGACCTGAGTCACTGCTGTCACTGCTGCTGCCACTGCTGCTGTCTGAGGAGCTGTCGCTGTCACTATCGCTGTCGCTGTCCGAGCTGGAGGAGTCGGAGGATTCCACCTCCTGTGTCTGCTGCATGATCAGCTTAGGGGCGTTCTTCAGGTGTTCACGCAGCTCATCACTGGGGGAACAGTTCAACTCAGGTTAAATATTGTTTTGTGTGCGTGTGTTTGGTTGTGTGTTTGTAAATGTGACAGCACATGGGTGGGAAATTCCCTAATTACAGACTGCAAAATGTCAGATACAGGAAGTTTGGTCCCAGAAGTTGGCCAAGAGTTAGTCCCAGAAGCTGGCCACGAGTTGGCCAAAAGCCAGCAAGAAGTTAGGGAATCTGTTGTTCAGATGCCAGTGGGAAAACATATAGAGACATAGACAGAAAAATACACAATTTTTTCCACAGTTGAAACAATCTGTAATACAATAGTCATATTCGCAGTGGAGGCAAAGGTCAACTAAAACAAAGTGAAAGTTTCATGATTTACAGTAGGTAGCAAGAAATGTGTTCAACAATTTGTATTCGTGACTTACGTGAGGCCTCCCAGACCAATAGAAGTGAAGAAGTTGATGGAGAAGCGTGTGTTCCGGGGATTGTCTCTGGGGAACAGGCCTTCAAAGTACGGGGTGTAGAACCTGTGGGCAGATAGGGGTACATGTACTTCAAACAAACAAAAATGTAGCAAAGTATCACATTTCATGAGTCTGAAACTGATCTGACTCAATGGAGCCATGGAAAACAGATAAGCCAGTTCACAGTTTTAACTGGTATTGTAAACAGTCCTTGTCTAGACCATGAATAGAAGAGCAGTGGTAACCCTTTTTGCTTGGCTGAAAACTTAAGCTGTAACAATACTTCAAAAAGCACCATGCCTCACCTCTATACATGTAGATGATGACTTTACATTACCTTGACTGCATAAAAACAACATGTTCAGAGAGCAGGCAGATTTTCTATGTTCTTGCCAAAAATCTTACAAGGAATGTCTCAGAGACATAGGTAGAAGTGTGTCTTACTGGTCCTTGAAGCGAGCGTTGAGTTTCTGAAGCCCCATGTACTCTGACAGCTCCTGGAACAGGATCTTGATGAAGATACGGCTGGACGACGTTGTCTCTTCCTCATTTAGGTGGATACACTCAAGCACCTGCAAAACACATCAGGTTGTGTACAGTGCAGCAGTGACACCTAGCAATCTATGTACAAACTGCATTACCTAATCTATGCAGTGAACATTGCCTACTCATTACAGTGGATATACTCAAGCACATGTAATGATGTATGGCATAACTTATCATGTTACGTTGAACACAGTGCAGCAGCGACATCTAGCAATCCACATACAAACTGCAGCAGCTAATCTATCCAGAGGGAGTGGAAATGTAGTGAACTGTTGACTCACAGTCCAGGGGATGGCGTCCGTGTAGAGCAGGTGGCCAAAGAACTTGGCGACGTTTCGGAGCTTGTTGGTCTCCAGGCGATGACAAGTCGTGTACTGCTCCACAAAAATCTTCTCATACTCCGCTACAAACTCTTTCTTCAGCTGACAGAAACGCTGGAGGAATACAAAATCATTTTTCCAAGTTTGTTGTGTTTTGGAGTTGTATATTTTCCATTTGCAAGTCACGTTCACAATATAATGACGGAACATGACACATGTAATGTTAGTCACAATTTTATTCGCATAATTCATGAACTACAATTGAGGACATACTAGAAGGTTAAAATATATCATGGAGGTATGAGATCTTTTGAACTCTGTTTTTTAAAAAAGCACCTACCTGTCCGAGGAGGCCAAAGAACTTCTCATACGAGCGCTGCTGGGAACAACAGTCCACGATCATGTGGCAGAACTCATACTGCAAACAAGAGACACAAGTCAGTAAGTCTTCTGTTCTGTAGGTCACGTTATACACAATGCACCAGCGCCACCTAGCAATCTATGTAGAAACTGCATTACCAGATTGTTTACATATTGTACTACATACTAGTAGGAGGCCACTTGCTTGTTAACACTACATCCTACCTCTTGTCCAGGCTTGATATCCATCTTCATCATTTTATGAGCACACTCCTCAAAATCCAGGCTAAAAACAACAACAGAAACAAACATTTGTCTCAGAAATCATTTGACAATAGCACAATATTGCCTTCTAAACTATAGTTGTTAAGAATTTGTTTCTTTGCTTTACAAAATGATTAAATGAGAAAATGGCTGGTAGTCAGTATACATATTTACATGCATTTTGCAGCATAGAAACATATTGTTAGCAATGCTAACAGAGATTGTAAGAAAAACAAACTCACCTTGACTGTACAGTCAGATAGATGGTCCGTCTCAGTGCGACAAGGTTGGTCTCTGTCATGTCTTCAATCTGCATCTTTGCTTCTGAAGAAAAACATCTCAGAAAGTTAGTTTTCCTTTATAGATGTGAGATATTAGTTGAAAGCAAACCCAAGACCTCAACAAAATAAATCTTTGTAATAACAGAGTATAAATACTATTGATTACAAGATGATAGTTTTTCTGACATTTGGAATGACTTTGATGTGTCAAACATGGTGTAGTTTTGATTGACAGTTTTGATTTGATTTGATTTATTGACATTGTAACAATACAATACACGTGGGGCACAGACAGCTGTTGCTGGTGTTGTGTCCAACACATAGAATCAAATACAGGACAGGGCAATACTAATTTTCACTTGAGTTAAGTGAGGAAAGTTATGTAAAGTGCCTTTCCCAAGGGCACAAGATTGGTGACATGTCAGGACTCGAGCCCGGGACCTTTTGGTTCCGTGTTGAGCACTCTGCTGTTGCGCTACATGACCCGACCATGATTGACAACTTGACACGTACCTTCAGCCTCCTCATCATCATCTGAGTCCTCCTCATCCTCCTCACTGCCGCTCCCCTCCTCACCACTACTGGAGCCCGACTCATCATCAGACTCATCCAGGATTTCTGGTACAGGAGAAACATTGTTACTGTACTGCTGTTATACTACTGTTGTAATACTACTGTACTACTGTTGTACTACTACTGTACTTATATTGTACTACTGGAGCCGGACTCATCATCAGACTCATCCAGGATTTCTGGTACAGGAGAAATATTGTTACTGTACTACTGCTGTACTACTGTTGTACTACTACTGTACTTATATTGTACTACTGGAGCCCGACTCATCATCAGACTCATCCAGGATTTCTGGTACAGGAGAAATATTGTTACTGTACTACTACTGTACTACTGCTGTACTACTGTTGTACTACTACTGTACTTATATTGTACTACTGGAGCCGGACTCATCATCTGACTCATCCAGGTTTCTGTTACACACTGTTGCTACTGTACTACTATTGTTCTATTACTGTACTACTTCTTTACTGCTCCTGTACTACTTCTGTGTACTGGAAGCCAACTCAACTGACTCATCTAGGATTTCTGTTACACAGAAAAAAGGGAAAACATCATTACTGTACAACTACTGTACTACAATTGGACTAATATAGCCTGACTTGATTAAAGTTTGTATGACAGGAGACATACCTTTCTTGATGAGCTTGTACTTTTCCTCATTCTGTAGGAACTCTGGGTCCACCTTGAAGACATCTAATGCAAAAACACAACAATTTGAGTAAAGAAACATTATAAAAAAGTATTACAAAAAGATGTACACACTGTCAGCAAATAATTTTGGAGTGCCTTTTATGAATATTACACATCCATCAAATGTAATGTGGGTATGTGGTCAAATATGGTTCTATGTTTTGCCTTGGACATTTGCAGAGGGTATTATAAGAGAACTGTTCAGCCTTACTGAGTATATCTTCTGTCTTGAGTTCGTCGTCCAGTGAGATGAGATGTGTGATCTGGTCCTCCTCGTCCACCATGTCCAGCCCCTCCACGATGGACGGGAAGTTCTGGAAGTTGTCCTTCCTCACGGCGAACATGACCTCGATCATGTACTGTACCCGCTTGTCAATCTGAGCCTCGTGTAGGATGCTGCGAAGTCGCTCAAAGATGGCTGGAAAGACAAGTGAAGAACATGTTAATAGTGATAATGCTACCAAGAGATCTGTCAGTGAAGGTTAGACATCCAGGTAATAAGATACGCCAAAAACAGTTACTCAAGCAATGAATAATATACCTGTCTGTTTTCAGAAAAAGTTGCATTTCATTGTCATTTCATTGGCTTCATATCATCTTTAAATTCTTCTGAAGAAGATTGCAAATCTTACCATGGATGCCTCGAGGGGAAACTTCCCCAAGTTTCTGTCCAGAGTCCTTCAGGAAACCCACGGCCACCTCCACACTGTCATCTGTAGGGTTCTCTAACAGTAGGGTCAGGATCTCCAGAGCTAACAACTCATGGGCCTGGGAAATAAACAATCAAAAGTAAGTTTTTGTAATTTTGTTGTTGTTGTTTCATTCATCATTGTAAAGTTCTTGCTGATTCTGTCTATGCACTTTCCAATAGGTTCCCATAAGGCAACAGACATGCATGTGCAGTAGTGTGGGAAATTGAAGACAGGAAATGAGATAACCTTTACTGGGACTTTTGACCTAACTTCCTACGTCCCTGAGGCACTTACATGTATCATGTGGAAATAAGGACACACTAAAAACAAATGTTGAAACAATCATTACATCATAGAGTAAAGCATTTACAAAGACTAATATTGCACAACCTTCGTTACTAGTACATGTAGTTGGTAAGAGGTAGAGACAGTACACAAAGCAAAATGTTACTCATAAAACAATACAGATATCATATTTGCAGAATCTGATATAGATAGAAAATGCTACCAGTGGATAGGCTAAGTACAAAAAGAGAGTACTTACCACTTGTTGGTTGACCAGATGAGCTATAAACTTTGTTGCAGTCAGACAGATGTTCTGTAAAAATAACAAATTGGAAAAATTACAATACAACTATATTGTCTATGTACTACTAGCAAACATCTTTTTCTTTATGTGTTTTGGACAAGAAGAAAGAGAGCGAAAACAATATGCCTTGAAAGTTGAATGCAACATACACTTAACCCTTTCCCCTACAAATATTTTGGACTGTCCCTTATCGTGTCAATCCTTGTATCCCCCCACACATATTTTGGACCGTCCCGTACCTTGTCGTTCCTCTTGTAGCCCCGTTTGAACTGCATGGTGAGTCTGCGGAGGATGAGCTCGCCGTTCTGCGGGAACTTGGTGTTGATAATGGCGACCAGAGCGGCGTACACGTGGGTAAAGGTCGGGGACGCCGCCTGGGCCTGGATAATGGAACGTGCCAACAGGCCTCTGCAAAAAAAAAAGGTACATGTAGAACCACAAATAGTTATAGCAGGTTCATAAATCAATTCAACAAATAGTCTAAGACAACTACCCAGGGGACTGAGGGAAAGTTGTTTTTTTAAACAAGTCATAAAAAGCATGGCGACAAAACTGCAGCAAAATTTCCACCCATTTTACAATAGACTGCTTCATTGACCCTAAGTGACCCAGCCAGTGCCATTTTACATTGCACAAAGACTGTTATTTTGTTGAAATTAATGGCAAACTGGCTGATTCCATCAAGACTTCTTGCTACTAATCATGAAAAAACGTTCTGATCTTTTAGTGAAATATAGCTCTTGGGCTTGGAAAGAAGTGGCATAGGTTTGAGCCCCCTGGCAGCTTTTTTGGGACTGCAGGGGCTGTGTTTGTTTGAGACTTCGGAAGATAACTCTGTACTGACCTCCCTCTAACAATGTTCTCCTGGAACAGTTCCATGACAATGTTTTTAAGGTTGGAGACGTTTGCCTTGTTAATCAGACCATTGATGCTCTTCTTCAATGCTTCCCAACTCATCCTCTGATACTCCGCACTGTAAACAACAACAATCATTACTGTGAATAACAACAAACATCACATACAGACATCAATAAAGAAAAAAATTCCTTTGAGGCAAAGAGCTGCATGAGGCAGGTAGGTTCTCGCTATTTTTGATCGTACACATGTATAAAAAAAATAAAGGGACTTGTCATGTAGCTTGTTTAGGGGCTATTTCAAACTCTTCAAATATGAAATGACAGTAAAAATGTGCTAAGAAATGGCAGTAAACATCAATATCAGATTTCCCTATTCAGAGTATTTTTGCACTGCTGCCCTAAAATTGCATCGGAGGCCTTTAAATCATCAGGGATTTCACCAAGAAGTTGTCGTACGAAACAAAATGCAACCTACCTGCTCTTGTCTGTGATTGCTTCCTGCATCATCCGCAGCTTGGCCGGCGGGATGTACGCTCCTCCTGTTCTCGTGGCGAGCGTCGTGTCCGCCTTACGGACTCTCTTCGCTGGCGGTTCCTCTGCTGACGCAGCGTTAGCCTCTCCAGTTTGAGGTGGATCATCACGAGATTTCCGCTCGTCACTGTCAAAATTGTGTGTATTAGTTTTAATCCTTCCTTGTACCTGTAATACCTGTTTTTTATGATAAGGAAATATCAACAGATTTATACTTATATACTTATACAAACTTGAAGATTCAAGATGTCCAACCTGTTACTGGTGTTTTTGCCATCTCTGTCAGAGGTACGCGTCCTATCTCTATCAGAATTGCGATCTCTGTCTGCGCTACGATCGCGCTCTCTCCCGTAGTTACGGTCCCTCTCTCTGTCGGAGTAACGGTCCCTTCCCCTGTCCGTTTCTCGTCGGTTTCCGTAGCGGTCCCGCTGGTTAGGAGACCGTCTGTAGCGTCTGTCATCATGCCTGAAATTAACAAAAATGGTGAGGAGTCATCATTAATGACTTTGTTACTTTTTCAATGCCAAAACAATGAATCGTCCAGCAAGCTGCAACTAATGATTCTAGACAATTTCTAGTTGTATAAAAATGGGCAAATGGTTATCATTTTCATGTTGGATAAGGAAACTTAAACAGTTTAACGTAATCAATCCAATAGTAAGAGTCCTACTGTAAATTCATTTATTTCTGTGGGACTTTAATTCAAAGTGGATGCTGCTAGCAGAAAGGAGGTTTTCCCTTTGTTTTGCAGTATAGCAACACATTGTAATACACGTGAATATGATATGCTTAATCTCAAAATAAAAGCACTGCAAAGATTTACAGTACCTTGGTGGTCTCTCCCAGTCTCTCTCTCTGTCTCTCTCCCTCCTTCTGTCGTTCTCATAACCACCTCTCCCCCTCCCCCTTGTAACCGTTGATCTGTCCCTTCTAGCTGGGGATCTCTGTCTCCTGACAGGCGATCTGGATCTAGAGCGGGATTTTCTCGGAGATTGCTGCCTCCGTGGCGGTGACTCGCTGGGGGATCGTTGTCGCTTGCTCGGTGATGAGTCATCCTGTCTTTGCGGTGACTCGCTCGTGTTTCGTCTGTGCCGTTGTTGACGAGAATTGTTAGGGGACCAATCGCGTGAGCGCTTAGGGGGTGAGCCAGATGGGGAACGTTGGTGTCTAGGGGGTGAATCGCTCTGCGATCGCTGTCGTCTTGGGGGAGATTCGCTAGGAGATCGTTGACGTCTCCGAGGTGAGGCCTCCTCCTGGTCGGCATTTCCTACATCATCATCATCACTCCGTCTCTGCTGCTGAAAAATTAATGCCATTTACGTATTAGGATTACACATGTATGTCATGTATTCAATCTTAGATTGAAATATCAGACTTCCAGGAAGACAAAGTATTCGATCCTTGGCTTCGCGAATTCCCCCATTTTCCGAAGTCCTGTCATACTTAATGCCTGTCAATCTTCCCCTATCATGTGCTGTCATACATAGCCTGTACCTTACTGTAGACATTTCAACCCTAAGGAGGGTAGCAGACTTTTAGCTCATGTAAAACTTAAAAAGTCTTGGTAAATATGACGAACAAACAGTGTGAAGTTAGGTATTGAGAACCTCTTTCCCCTAAAGATATTTTTACACAGATTTTTGTAGAACACGTTATACGACATCCAAAGCCTTACCTTGTGTACTACGACAGAACTGCGGATACGAGTCCCGCGTTCAGAGCCAGAGTCGCTGCTCCCCGAACTCTCACTACCACTCTCACTTCCGCTGTCACTGTCACTATCACTGCTGCTTTTACTGTCCTTCTCACTGTGGGAAATAAGTCATGAACACCGTCTTTAGTGGCAAGGCAGTCTTGTGGTTAGGGTTGAATATGAAAGTTCTGGGCTCGAATCAAATTATGGCAGGCCCCACTGTTGTGCCCTTGTCGAACCTACTTCTACACTGACTCAAACTTCAAATTTGCAGTTAAAACAACCCTATAGTATCACCTCAAAAGTTTACAACTCATTTAAATAATTCTTAGTTAGGTATGTTCAAAATTTTACTCTTTTTCTTTTCTTTGTTCAACATAAATCGTTACATGCTACTGACAAACTACATGGATTTTCTGGCTGACAAATTTTTCGCCTTATTTCAAGAGTAGACACATATATCACTAGATCATTTTCCAAACTCTTATTTTGTAAGACTTTTACCGATTTTGCCAACAGACTGAGATAATTTCTTCCTTCATAATTTTTTTCGCACGCATGCCACAAACAAAATCTTGTGCGCCCCCCTCCCCACTTCCAATCGATACAAAATTCAGTACGCAGCGAGTTTCGGGGACTTCTACCGGTCAAAAATGAGCCGTAAGTCTACATTTATATTTCTCTTACCTGTCAGACATGTTGCTTTAGAGTTTTCAGGCAAATTTTTGGTTTCAAGGCAAGGAAATTTTCTTGTTCGCCTTCGCTGCACGTAAGGTGATCGCAACAAGATGGCGTCGCGTGACGTCACGGCGACTAAACAACTTCCACCAGATCTCGCGAGAAGATTCGAGAATAATCTTTAAACGACCGGGAGCGCGAGAACAGGCTGACCAATCAGAGGGGAGATATGTAAATATTTTTGTAGAAACTGACCAATCACAGGGGGGAATTCCCGAAGTTGGCGCGCTTTTTGCAGGTATTTCCCGCTCTCAGCTGTAGCCAACACAGAAGCAGAATTTTTGGCGGTTCGGACGGTGTTAGGCGATTTTTGTGAGCAAAATCGACGAATTTAGGCATCGGAGAAGACTACTAGGAGCATTAATCAGGTAAGTCGAAATTCCTAGTCTTACAGGGAACCAAGTTTTCGGAATATAGACGTCTAAATTCAGTCTACAAGGAGGACAACCTGGGTAGAGTATACAGGTATAACAGTTACCACTCAGATTTTGCATACAATTTTACTTGCATGTTCTCCAGCAAATTTTCACTAAACTAGCTTCATCAGATGGTTTTCTGAATCGTTAGAATGAAACTCCTGTTGCACGATGCATCTTGGATACAGAATAGGGCTTGCATTCCCTTATCATGTGTAAGAATCGTATTGTGTTAGTCTTCGTATGTGTGAAATGGCGCCAAGCTGGGCTGTGAAACAAATAGAAAACACAACAAAACAATCTTCATTTTTCCCTCCACAGAATGGCTACCAAGGGCCAGACCACGATTTCCTTCCAATGCCGGAAGACTCGATCTCAGACCAAGAAGCAGATCGTCGTAGAAGAGAAGCCTTCTCGAACGAGTCGAAGAACTAGGCGTGGCGCCGCGACCCAGGAAAAACCTCGGGAGGACCCTGCACCCAAGCCCGAGCGCCCTCCCCTCTCTCCCCGCAAGCGTCCTTGTAAGTTTACTTTCCTGTAAAAACCCTTCCTATCATGATCAAGACTACACTAAGGCAACCATAATACATAAAAAAAGATTGCAAAAATGTTAAATTCGTCACAAAATTTATCTATATGTAAATTATTTTCTCACATTTTTGCATAGAGGATGACCACCTATTGTTAGTATTTATTGTAAGGCTTCTCACCTGGTTTGGTTGGTTTTGATGTTGTCTAACATCTACAGACAGTCTACAGGTATAACAGTTAGATTGAGATGGAAATTTGTGTTTTTGTTCTCAATTAGACACCTAAATATTGAGAGGACCCCAAAATAGATTCCATTGGGTGCAACTAGTTGTCTTGTTGTTGGGGTATTCCAAAACCCAAAATTATGTGACATATATTACTAAAACGATCACGATAACTTCTTTTTCTCTCCTACTTTGAAATAAAATCAGTGCAAAGGTAAATGCATTGTTGCTGAAGTCAACCAAGAACTGTAACCAATCACAAATGTCATTATTATATTTCGCCTTCTCTTTAGCAGCTGACAATACTCCCAGAGACAACTCTCCTGTGACCGCCTCGAAATTCTGCCCGAGTCCGACCAAACGCAAGAAGGAGAACCAACCAGAGCAAGCCGTGACGTCCAACACCCTCCCCTCTACACCAACAAAGACCCTCCCCCGTCCTAACCTGCCCCCCTCCCCATCTCCACTCAAGATGACGTTGATGAAAAATGAAACTTTGTGTCCAATCAAAAGTTCCGGGGTCAAGAAGAGACTAGCTTCACCAGAGAGATGTCCTACGTCTCCATGGAGACAATCGCTACGGACACCATCACCTAGGAAACAAGCCACACCTTTGAGGTTACAAAGACAAGATGGTAAGCCTTTTCTGTGACTGTTTTTTATTGAGCTAGAATTGTTCAGTTGATGTCATAACTACAGAAATATCAGATCTACAATGAAGATGAAAAATAAATTGCAAGTTTCCCCCTCCACGCGTTGTCATACTGGCCACCATGTATATTACAAGGAAATTAAAGACATGAAATAGAATAACCTTTGATGTCCTATTCTGGGACCTCTGACCTAACTTCCTGTTTTCTTTTCTGCACACAATGTCTGATCCCCTGTCCATGATCGTGACTTGGAGATCATCCTGCGATGTGCAAAATAAACTTGTGGAAATTGCACCTTAACTGTTGTGGCTACATAGTAATGCCATGGCAACAAAGTACTTTTTTCATACAAGTTAGTGTCAAAACACAAACATCAGACTTCTGTGAAATATGCAATCCTTGGCTTCCTGAATTCCCCCCATGTTGACCCCCAATTCCTGTTGTTTCACCAGCTGGATTTTCTGAGACAGTTAAGATATAGACGTAACCACTAGACTTGCAATTTATACCAAAATTCCAACAATAAGAAGAGGCATAAAGTTAACTAATTTCTTAACTACGTTTTTCAGCCACCCCGTACCAGAGTGCAAAGAAGGCCCTCCACACGGCTGTTCCAGACTATCTACTGTGTCGTGAGAAGGAGACTAAGGTTATAACAGACTTCCTGGAGGAGCACACTACAAAACAACAGCCTGGCAGTCTGTACATCTCCGGGGCCCCTGGCACTGGGAAAACTGCCTGTCTTACACATATCATGAGGAACATGAAGGTGGGTTTTGTTACAGGTTTGTGATAGCAAAACCTGTTTTGAATTAGGTCTTTAATTGATGGATAATTCATGAATTTTTTTCTGCTATTATTCAGTGTTTGTAAACATAAATTTTACTATTGAGAGTTTTAGGACTACTGTTTCCTGTGACGTTGAAGCCACCCTTTTGGAATTTGTCCTCTTCATCTGACTTTGTGTCTTTACTTCAGGGAAGTCTTGAGTCTACTAAGATGATCTTTGTGAACTGCATGGCTGTGAAGAATGCTCAGGGGATCTTCAGTAAGGTCGCCAGTGAACTTAGCCCCACGTCTACAACTCCTCGTACCGCCAAGGATGCCTCAAGACTTCTTGAGAAACAGTTCAAGTCCAAGGGACCCATGATGTAAGAAACTCCCTTTTTTGAAACATTTCTTAACATCTTCTCATTCTCATGTGTTTACTGGATTTGCCTATGTCAGTGATCTCATCACTAATGATGTTTTCTTGTCCAATCAGAATCCTTGTACTGGATGAGTTGGACTCCCTAGACAGTAAGAACCAGGAGGTTCTTTACACCATGTTTGAGTGGCCAACGCTACCCAAGTCTAGACTCATCCTCATAGGTAAGTCAAAATAACCTTTCTATGTGAAGCTATTTCAAACAACCAGCAAGGTTGGCTAGCAATGTTTTAGTATTGTACACATGTTGTTGTATCATGACCAATTTTATCCCTCTTTTCCTGCAGGAATAGCCAATGCCCTGGACCTGACAGACCGTATCTTGCCCAGACTACAATCTCGGCCCAAGTGTCGACCTCAACTCTTAAACTTTGAACCCTACTCTAAGGACCAGCTAGTCACTATTGTACAGGACAGGCTACATAAGGTATGGTTATAATTAGAGTAGTAAAAATGATTCAGAAATGGTACACCTGTTGCTAATAGCTCCTTTTTCTGAGGGTGAATAGAACTGTCTTTCTGTGCACACAATGTCTGATCCCCTGTCCATGACCTTGGCTTGGAGATCATCCTGCGATGTGCAAAATAAACTGTGGAAATTGTACTTTTTTGTTTTTGGCTACATAGTAATGCCATGGCAACTTTAAGTACTTTTTCTATACATCTTTATCATACTTTGGCTTATACTTGTTGGTTACCTCACAAGTGTCAAAACTGTTACTCAGTCCTCCCTACAGTAGATATTGATGCCTAACTTATTGCTGGACTATTTCAGGCTTCGTTGGAGGGAGCGCCAGTGTTAGAGCCAATGGCAGTACAGTTCTGCGCCCGTAAGGTGTCGGCCGTGGCGGGAGATGTGCGGAAGGCGCTGGACATCTGCAGACGAGCGGTGGAGATGGTGGAGACCGACGTCAGGAGTCAGGCTGTACTCAAACCACTGTCTCCCACGAAAGGTACAGATATAACATCATATTAGAAATGTCTGAAAGTAGAAATCAAAGATCTCATAACTCATGAAATATTTAGTTTTTGTAAATTTTCTCTAACAAAGTGTTCGTATTTGTAATATCTTTCTGATTCTTTGAATTTTCCCGCAGGCTCCCACAAGGCAGCAGACATGCATGTAGCATAGGGAATTGAAGAGAACCTTTTCTGGGACCTTTTACCTAACTTCCTGTCATTGTTCCCAATGTACCTAGCATGTAAACACCAAAAACAGTATACAAAAAGTGGTAAGTATGATCTTTTCATTCTTTCATGGTTGAATTAACGTGTGTTCCTTTTTCTCATAGGTTCTCCCACGAAAAGTCCAAGAAAATCACCCAAGACTCCCGTGCCTAAGAAAGTTGGCCTGTCACACATCGCGAGCGTGGTGTCGGAGGTGTACAGTTCTCGGATGGTCGCCTCCAACACCAACCAACAGCAGACCTTCCCGCTACAACAGAAACTTGTCGTCTGTACCCTACTGCTCATGCTCAAGTCTGGCAAGACAAAGGAGATCACCCTAGGAAAGGTAAGAAGGCTCTGCTCCTGTGGTGTTGTCAAAAATGTGTGAAATGTTGTCCTTTTAGAGGTTCCTTCTAGATTAGAGACTTAGAGATTAGAGAAATTAGAGATTAGAGATTCTAGACTTTATTTCCTTCTACATAATTAACATTTGCAAAGCAAATGCATAATGTTTACCTTCACATAGCCTAACAAACTATGAATTCTTACTCAAATACATTAATATATACTGTAAATGCATTTTTATTCGTCAGGGATTTAACTTCGCCGTTTTCGCGAAGAGCCTTGCTTCGTGAAGTCATGTCCCTCGCGAACTGTTTACCGTATCGCTACACTCCCGTCTTCCAGGTTTCCAAAATTGTAAAATACGTTACTACTACCCATAGAGCCAAGTATAACTATCCGAATTGTCTCAGCAGAAATAGACACAAATAAAAGTAGACCTGTCCAGTTCTTCAAGAAATAGAATATTTCTGCGCTATTGTTGAGTATCAGAATTATTTATACTGATAAAAATTATTTTATGAGACACCGAATCCAGTGTCAAGCCATGTCAACTGCGTACAAGAAATCTTAGCGTGCACGTCGCGGGGCCGCTTGCGACGGGAATACGGCTAAAATGCAGGCACATCCACAAATATTTTGATCAAAAACATAATTGCTGGGATCTGAAATGTTACTGGGTTCTCCTTAGCGGGAGTTGTATTTTGTTTTGGTTGGTAAAACGGAGGGTAAAAATGCTAAAAATTTAGCTTGGGTACGACGAACCCACGCCGAGGCACGCCGGGGTCCGTATACTTCCGGTTTGCAAAATCACGCCGAAAACACCAAAAATCCCCATAGAAATATACATTTTCCCGAAAGATTCTTGGAACTATGCATTCCTTCACTAGAATATCGATGTGTAGTTGTGGAAAAAGCGTTTTAGCGCTTATATTAAAACAAAGAAAATTTGTTTACATCGCGTCGGCCCGCTTGTATGTTACCGCGGCGAGCTGCTCCGACTGACGCACAACCAATCAGAGACGCGAAATTCGGACACGTGACGCGAGATTTGCATACCGTCAAAATTTATGCAGCTAGCTGAGAAAGCCAGGAGCGGGGCATGAAACTAATTTTTGTGTCAAATTAGCGCCGTATTTCAAGAGATAAATGCCGGGAAACAAGATTTTCCTGCTTTTGAAAATGTATTTTACGAGTTCATCTTTGAATATCCGAGTAAAAATCTAACCGTTCGATGCCTGGTCCTTCGGTACGATAACGTTACAGATCCCGTGTGATTCTCAGCACGAGCCATCAGTTCGGTATGAATTTTTAACTGCAACCAAATCACTGTTACTCTGTACTAAGTAGCGTTTTGTTAAAAGATTCCATAGCCGGTGATTTTGTGTGACAAAAGAAAAATATTGGGACTTTATTATTATCAAATATGGGGGATTTCCGGGGCCGGGTAAACCCATGAAAGGAGGGGGGGGGGGCGGGCGGAAGTCGGCATTCCCTTTTGTATTTGGTTCTGCTGTATAGCGAACTAAAATCCCTCGCGAACTCTCTATTTGCTCCGCTGCGCGAAATTTAGTCCTCACGAACATAAATGCATTTACAGTAGTATAAACAGTGACCAGTCCCTCCAACTTGCTACATAATGTAATCCAACAGCACAGGGTGTCTGCAAAAGCACCAGTTACCATGGTGACAGTTGTCTGGTCTAGGTCATTGACCATATTTGTTTGGAGAAGAAGAAGCAAAACAAAAACTATGTTTTGCCCCTGTGAACATAAATATGTATATTAAAAAGGATTTTTATGGGTTTTTTTCAGCTACATGAGGTTTACAGTCGTGTGTGCAAAAAGCGACAAGTTGCCAACGTGGACCAGTCAGAGTTCCTGTCCCTCTGTACTCTCATCGAGACCAGAGGAATCCTCTCTCTCAAGAAGGCGAAGGAGGCCAGAATGATCAAGGTACACCAATCTCAATATCACTAAAGATGTCTTTATTTGACTGTGGAAGACCTTCCTTTTGACTTCTGTTACTAGTATCCTTCAAGTTCCTAAAGAAACAGTGTGGTCGCAAACTTTTATTGGAAGTTTAGACCAAAAACTTCTCTACATTTTGATAAGATTTAAGTGTCCTGAGTAGATATTTCATGTCAGCATGCAACAGATAAATAGTTTTGAATAGGTCACACAAATGACTCTGTCCCAGTGGTGTTGCCAAGAAATGTTCTGACCTGACCTGATCTGTTTTACAGGCATCTCTGAGAATGGAGGAATCAGAGTTGGAGTTCGCCCTACAGGACAAGGTCCTAATGTCATCTATACTGAAGGAAGGCATCCCGGCTTGATCAAACACTGTATAAACCTTACTCCTAACCACAACTAAATCTCAGTATCTCGAAAGTTCATCTGTGTTGGTACAAGTCCATAGTGAAGCAAGTTTTAAACTGTAGTTTCCAATTTGTGTCAGTCCAAGGAGCCAGAATTATTTTCTTTTGTTCATGCCAGAAGCCATAGGGACTTATGAAGCATTTTTAAATACAATATCAGACTGGTGTTAAGGGCAATATTTGTCTTCAGTATTTTTTGACACATTTTTTAGAAGTTTTCATTTCAGAACTGATGCTGCTGTTTATATATATTGTTCCAAGTGCAGCTAGCAATAATTCAATTTTGTAAAGTGATGTTGAAATAAGATCTCGAATCAAAAAAGTTGGGCATATAACTTTTTCCAGCCTGGACATAAGATATACTTATTGGCTCTGCCCCGGAGGCATTGCTAAAAAAGCTGCATGTCTACCTTGTAGGGGGCTTAAAATGTGTTAATTTGTGTATTTTCAATGTGTCAATGTAATTGAGAACTTAGCTAGGCTAGATGTAAATTAATGACTGTATTACTATAGCACTGCTAGTGTATATTTGTAATGTGACTTGTATGTTCTGTCTGTATGGTTGTATTTGTGATGTGTATAGGGCAACATAAAAATGTCTGCCATGAATAAATTGTAAAGAATTATCACATTTTCTGTGTCACTGCTTTGTGTGGGCTTTCATATTGTCCCTTATATTATAACACAAAGAAAGGGTATTCTTTTAAGTTTTAACCAACAAGAAATCAGAGATTTCAGACTTCTGGGAGGTAGGCAATTCTTTGCTTCCTGAATTCCCCCCATACTTGCCAACCTTCAATTCCTGCTGGCCAGATTCTGAAACCTGTCAATCTTCCCCACCCAAAACAATACTTCCCTACCCGGAAGTAAAAATCTGTTTAAAAAACACTATCACTATGGAAACTCCCAAAGGTAAATAAACAAGACCCGTAAACGTAACATTTAATCAAGCTTTTGACTTTATTCCTATAAAGCTAAGGAAACATGTACACTTAAGCACAGCAATGTCATTAGTGATGTGCTATACAGAGTTCCAACTTTTCCATCTTTTAGTTCAACAGCATATAATTCAAGACACCCTGGGTTTTGGAGGTGTGAACCATACATGTAATTGTATACAACATAAAGCATGAAAGATTCAGTCTCTGGCCATGGTGGGCTTTAATGATCTCAAATTTGGCAAGCTTGTAGTAGGTAGACTTCAGCACATTCAAGTGAACTGTTGCAATGCTGTCTTCACCCTGTAAAACAAAGTAAAAACATTAATATACATAACTGGTTTTATGTAAAGAAATGTACCTTGAAGTCATGGTTGGTTCATTGTTTAAACCGTACATGTGCCAGGTCAAAGGCAGTGTTCTAGCTAGTGCCAAGATTTCAACATTTTCCATGGGGGAGCATCTTAATAAAACCAACAAACTTACTTGTCGAACAGTACAGTATCACTGGAACTGAGTAGCTGTTGTAACAGTTTCTGTACCCCCATGTCACGCAGCTTCATCTGACGCTCCAATGCTCCTGTGGAAATGACAGTTCCTCACGTTACATTTCAAATGGCATTAATTTCTAACATTTGTGTAATTGTTGTGTGGTTATGTGTTATAGATGTTTGGTTAGACACACAACTGCAGCTTACAAAAGCATGCAGTTTAAACACTTTTGCACAAGTTTTGACCGGCTTTTACGTGGCTTTCAATTGCAACTTACATACGATTTACACAACTTTTTCACACAAAAAAAAACAGCGTGTACAACATGTGGGAAGTTAATCGAGTTCTATGCTGGAAGGCAATAACTTTTTTTTTTAAGTGGAAAGCAGTGGCAAGAAAAAAAATCCGGTCAAAAATCCCTCCTTCTCTTTAAAATGTTGGCTTGCACCATTCTAAAATGGGGGTGTTCCTTACCCTCCTCCTCGTTCCAGACCAGGTTGGAGATACAGAAGGTAGCGGCGATCTGAAGCCGCACGTTGGCGTGGATCATGTAGTTAGTGATTTTCTTCAGGACATCGTCATTCGCCATGATGAAGTCTTTTGCCGTCGTGCCATCTGAGATGTTGGCTAAGATACACAGTGTCTGGAAAAGAAATGGAGAAGATATCAATTTATTGTTTACCTTTGCAGCAGTAAAACATTTTTTCCCTTTTCAGATTTAGATGATCCAACAAACAACCAAAGAAACAAAAGTATATGAATATACAATAGTAATACAGACCTGTTCCTTGACTTCTATGGTATGCTCCCCCTCCAGTATGAGTACAATCGCCTGCATGATCTGTTGTCCATGCATCCCCATGATGTGGTCAATGTGCTGGGAAAAAAACATTTGTAAACATTTAAAAAACAATTTCAAATGATCACTACTGCATTGGAGCAGTAGATCGTGTTTGTGTTCAAAACTAAAGAAGTAAATCTAAATAGTAATGGTTACTAGTAGTTTGGATCCAAAGTCAGCTTGACGCTATTTCCTGTGGTTCTATAGCATAACCTAAGATAGTGTGTGACACAAAATGCCATTTCTCATTCCATGTTATATTTTCATTCATTTTCAATGTCTGTTCAATGTCTGAGTGTAAGTTCACTAACTGTGAACTATTCATAACAACAGTAACAAATCCACTATCCACTTTTCTCTCATGAGGCAACAGACATACACATAGCAGGGATTTGAGGACAGGAAATGAGATAACCTTTTCTGGGATCTTTGACCTAACTTCCTATCAGTGTTGTCTCTGAAATACATGTACCTATCATGTGGAAATAACTACAGAAACACAACCAACTGCACACACTGACACACAAAAAAAACACTGTACAAGTAGATGAAACAACAGAAGCCTTCCTTACAGGTTTGTTGGAGAGGAGGTTCCTCAGCAGCCCGAGTGTCTTCATCAGAACGTTGACGTCAGGATCAGACAGGAGTTTGAACAGCTGATCCGTCCCTAACGCTGCCAGGATCTGACTCTTCACTTTCTGCTCTGCCTGGAATGCCATGTTCTGTACAGGAACAACACAAGCTCACAGTTATGTAACTGATGTGGTTAACTGCTAAAACATGTCAGGAGCTGGAAAAAAAATTCTATGCTACACAAGTTACAACTGTTACTACAACCTGCTGTTCATTACTCATGCAGATTTATCAAAATATATGAAGCCTGTTCTAAAATGTATGTCATACACTGGCTAGTACAACTGGCTAGTACTCACTCTCTCATTTATTACTAGTACTAGTCTGTAAAGATCAGATTGACTACAAATGTCTGCATAAGCTTGTTTTTAATTCTATAATCATTAGTTTCTGCTTAAGCAGTGTATGTTGGAGGACCATGCTGTGTAAGTACAGTATGCACGTGTAACTAATATGACGTCACACTAACTTAGTATGACAGCCAATTGAGAATCTACCACCACGGCTTGTAAAAACGTTCTGTTGAGAAGCAAACAAAAGCAATCATCAATAACTTATAATAAGTTATGATAATTGTGTATTGTTTGCTTCTCAAAAGAATGTTCTTTACGTTCTAAAGAAGGCTTTTTCCCCTGTGTAAAATGGGTCATTGTTAGGTACTGATGTCTAAAGATCTATACATTACCCCAGAATTGGATGCCCCCCACCCCACCATGTGTTGTTAGAATTATTGGACTTATCACCTTGGTTTCCACTTGAAATGCCATGTTCTGAAACAAACAGATCAAAGGGGTTTATGGAACACATCTGGGGAGGTCAAAGGTCACAGGGCAGCACTGAAGGTCAGGGTCAAGGGTCAATGTTAGAGGTCATACACAGCTTTAATGTTTTGCAATGTCAAGGTGAAAGCATAGCTAGTTTATATTTTACAACATTCAGACATTGAAGAAATTCAAGGTTTCTTTTTTAAATCATAGAACTTCTTGAGTGCAAATTTGTCAAAATCAAAATGGCCATTACAATTTTGGTGAATCGGAAAATTTTCATGTCTGAATGCCTTAAAATAAATGGAATTAAGGAATGGGTATTTGTAATTAAGCTTGCATGCAAATGTCAATATCTACTTAACTTGTCTCTGAATAATTTGATTATGCAGTGTAATAATTATGCAAAAATTAGTGGTGCTACAACTGTATTATATTGTACATCATTTGTCTTGACACATGCCAGTTACTGATAGAATGTCAGGGTGCAAAATACTTGATAGAACTGCAGTTTTCTAAAAATCTCAGAAATGCTAAAGTCACAGAGTATTTAGGTGACAAAATGGTGACTTTTTTTCTATCTGTGATTTCAGTTTTCAGTACAGAATACCAGTATTGCTGTTACTAGACTGGTATTTTGCACCCTCACATGTCTCTCTCTTCTACTGTGCTCTAGTACTGTTAAGAACTTGTGTTTGTTGTGGAGTTGTTTCCATACCATGAGTGCCCAGATCCCGTTCAGTCGCAGAGCGGGATCATCTCTCTTTGTCAGATCACACAGCAGATCCACAGCTCCAGATTCCAGCATGGGCTGTGTTAGAACAAAGGGTTAGATTTCTTTGCTGTGTACTTAAAGTCCATCTGTAATTTACTTTATTAGGTACAATGCCTAAAACAGTTACAGGATTTTGTGCTTTTCCTAGTATTGGAAAGTCATACTGATGTGAAAAAGCAGTGTTTTTTTAATATAAAAAAAAGGACTTCTTGAAAAAACATTTTTCTAATACTAGTACTTAAAGCCAGAAGATACATGTATGAGCATAAAAAGTGATGATGGCACAGAAATGTGTACATTTCTGCAAAGACATTATGTCACACAAATATGAGCACATTTCTGTAAAAAAATGATGATGTCACACCAATATGTGCACATATCTATAGGAGGTTCTGGTATTTATAGTACATGTAATACCTCTTTGCTGGGAGAAAACTCCAATAGTAGATTACACAGAGTTGATGAGGCCACAGTCAACATATCATCATCTGCATTCTGTAAGAGCTGCAAGGCATTATAACATCTTGTTATTACAGTACATATTTATTAACAGATGCTGTGCACAGTGTGTACATAAACATGGGTTCATTGTACCAGGAAAATTCTCCTAACAGCAGACCATGGCTTAACATCCCTTCCTAAGGACTGCAACCCCTTACACTAGCATGCATGTCAAGTGAGCAACATTGCTGGGATTCAAACTCCCAAGTCCCAATCTCTTGGTCCAGAGGCAGGGTCGCTAACCACTGGACTATGTATACTATAATAATGAAAACATTCCTGGATTTCATAAACTCGATGATTTGCTCTTTAGAGTGGACCCAAAAAAAAATGCTTGCCTTCATTAGTGGTTTCCAGACTGCATGGTCCTGAAAACTTGTTCTGAGCTGCTGAACTGATCTGGACAAACTGTGGAGACATCTGTGAAAAAAAAATCAATTAAAAAATCCACCGATAAAACCTGAATACCAAATCTCTTTTTCAATTTTAGGTTGACAAAGTATAAACAAAAAACATTTATTAGCTAGAGATTAATATTCATTTTCAGACAAAACTTACAGGGGTGTTACCGTGTATGATCAGATATTTCTGCTCTCACAACTTTTATGTGTCATATACATGCAGAGAAACTGCAGCCTGCTTGCAACAATCCCTCCAACCTACCTGACTGCTGCCAGTCTGACTCTAACTACTGGGTCTGACAGTCCACACACCACATGGTCCATCAAATTCTCTGTCTCTATTATCTGAAAGAAAAAAAGCAATACATGTACGTGACATAAAACCACTTTTTTCGGCTTTAGGTCAACGTTCATCATAAAATTTTTTCAATGGGTACAATATTCAGTGGGTACAATCATTCACCATTCAATTTGTTTTCTACAGTTGTTGCTAATAATTACCTTCTTCCTGATATCTTCATCATTAGCTCCCAGTGAGGCAAAAGCCATGAGTGCTGCAGCCTTTAGTTCATGAGAGTGCTTCATGTCATAGTCCAACTGAAACACAAAGAAATAGAACATTATTCTGTATTTGTATAGCTGGTACAACTGCCATTTGTCAGAACATAACAGCTTCTGTATCTGTGTCTGTATAGCCAGTATAACTGTCCTTCGATGTAACATACCAGCTTCTGTATCTGTATGGCTGGTATAACCATCCTTTGGCATGACACACTGGCTTTGCTGGCCCATGGCTTAGTGGCAGCTTACAACAAATGACCTGATACACCTAACCTTTGTAATTCTACATGTAACTGTAAACGTTGCTTAAAACTATCTAGTGATCATGCCCCTCACATAGCTATTTCAAACACTTCAAGTATGAAATTATGGCCAAATATGCCATAAAGAAATGACAGTAAATGTCAATATGAGACAGATTTCCAGAATAATTTCTGTTTTGCCTTGATGAAATTGCATTTGATGGCTTTAAGAAAAGTAATTATTTTACCCGCTTGAGATCCATGACCGTGGTTTGTGTGGAGGGATATCTGAGGAACTCAGACAGTGTGGGAATGAGGTGGTCGGAGTAGCTTGCGATACGCTGGAGTTCCAGGTCCACCTCGATCAGGTACGCCAGCGTCTCCGCTCCCTCCACTCTCTCCTCCAGCGTACGGTCCTTCTTACACATACGGATCAGAGTGGGCAGGGCCTGGAAACACAGGAAACAGACCAGTAAGCCAGTTCACAGTTTGGATTGTTAAATTGAAAGGCGACTTACACCAGTTCTTGTTTAGACCTCCACTCCAAATTTTGACCATGGAATGGCTAGGATTTTGGGACTATGTCCCTGTTTTGATGCATTGGACATTACGTTTTTATGTATGTTCTTCTTCTTTTTTTGACTAAATGTAACAATGTCATGTCTTGTATCTGTATCTGTATCTGTATCTGTATCTGTAGAGCTGGTATAACCGCCCTTCAAGCTATTGTACTAATGTAATACCCTGGGCCCCCTGAAGAAAAAAAAAGTAACTGTGAAAATCATTTCCCACCCACCATGCAGCCGAAGCAAAGATGACAGACAGAGAGACAAACTCACAAATGAGTCACCCAAAACAATACTACCATACCCGGTAGTAATTATTACTAGGGCCTGTCAGTGTCTACCTTGTACACAATTTTGGAGTCCTGGCTAGACAGTGCGTTGGCTCTGCACATGTACGTCAGACATTTGGCCGAGCTCATCTGCATCTCCACGCTCTTGTCCCGTAAACACAGCTCCACCAGCAGGTCCGGTAAGGGCCGCTCCGCCACGCTGGCCGCTGCCACCGCAGACGACACAATCTGGTTCATGTAGGTGATGACACAGAACACACGCAGGGCTGGCATCTGCACCTGGGACAGGAGAAACATACACAGTTTTTATCTGTCACATACTCAATCCAGTAGTTCACAGAGAAACTGCACCCTGCCTGATGACACAGAATACACATAATCTGGTCAGTAAAGGATATATGTAAGTTAAACAATATGTAAGTGAAGCACGTTGGCTCAGAAGTACTTTGCCTGTGCAAAAGCTAGCTTTTCATGGCTTTTGTTGGATGTTTGGTTAATGTTGCATCATAATCTTGAGTGGAGGAATTTCAGCTGCCTTTCTGGAGGAATGTGCACTTACAAGACCAATGCCTACATGTTACTGGCTGGGTATAAATTCCTGAAGGATCTAAGAGCACACACCTTGTACATCTTAGATGCCAGAAGAGGTGCCAGTGATTCAATGACTCCATTGCTGTACAGAAGGCCTTGATGTTCTGAGGTCTGGAAAGGAACAATATACAGCTTATTTGCTTAGCAATTTTACAGAAGTTTGCAATAATATTCATTTAATGGAAAATAACAAAAAATAACAAATTATATGATCAAACATGTATAGAAAGTATTGACTTTCTGACATACATACCTTACAGCACTGAGCCAGAATGCTGCAGACACACTCCTGTGTTGTAGGAGACTGGGACACTATGTCCAACATGTGGGGCACAACTCCTGGGTCCTGTAGTACAGACAATCAGTTTATAACCAAAATCACAAAGTACTGTTGGCTCCACTCCCCGGGTGTTGCCAAAAAACATTTTAAACATAATTATGTACAGCACAAGTACAATGTGCATATGGAAACAATTCGGTTTCTTGCTTTATTTTATATTATTTGTTGACATTCAAATGATATGAGCAAGTACACCTTGCCACACTTACTATAGTGACTTTAAAAGTAACATATTACTTAAGAACTGATCATTGATATTGTTTGTCTATCATATAAATTATAAGACCAAAGTTTGCAAGAATATCAGATTTTCAGACTATCCTTAGGTAAATTTTGTGAGACTTACAGTATACAGTAGTTCTACCGGTGCAGCCTGACTGGTGAAGATGGACCTCAGACATCTCAGGCAGCCTTCCACAAACTTCAGGTTGGAGTTATTCAAACCTACAAGAAACATGAATACAACACAGTGGAAAAGTTGTGAAGTGTTCTAGTCAGTCCGTCTTTTGGATCCAAACATTTTTTGAAAATCTACTATATTAATGAGAAGATTAGACCACTTACATTGCAGCAGAATGGGCACCACTCCACTGTCCACCAGTCTCTTCACGTTTGCCTGTGATCCTTTAGCCAGGCTGCCCAGGACTATCGCTGACTCTGTCCTCAAACCTACGGCTGCTCGTTCATTCTGGATAAACTCTAGAAGTCTGCAACGAAGTATAAGCAATCATTAGTTAGAAAATTTTGCACCAGAAACATACAATACTTGGATGACAGTACAAAATGTAACAAAGTTGATTCATGCTTTGAATGCTATAGTATGAATGAAAGTATACATGACCTACCTGGCCACAACTCCTAGGGACATCATGTGAAATTTCTGCTTGTTGTTTCCAATAACTGCATTCTTCAGTTTCCTATAAAGACAAAGAAATACTGTTTAATGCAGAAAGAAATTGACAAGTACGAGCAACTTTGAAACTTACCTACTAGATGGTATTTTATTATTTCCATCATCTCTTGTCAATTAAACAGAAAGCAACAGAGCTAAAGCATACAGGTGTTAGTTATACTAAATATGGCCTTGTTTTCAAACACTTCTACTTCTAGCAAGAAATTTCTTTTTTTCCTCAAGAAATGCTGATAGTGATACATGTATAAGTGTTTAGTTACTTGTACTTCAAGACAGCATGGCAGCAAGAGCATTGTAGTTGGGGGTCTGCATGGGGGTTACAACAACACTGTTTTCCTCAGGCTTATGAAAAAGGGGCATGCAGACCCTTATACTTACACTACAGAGTGGAGTACTCTGTCCATGTCCTCTCCATACAGGTTCTCCATGTATTCTCTTCCAACCATCTCACCCTAAACAAAACATGAAATCACAGATTTCAGACCTCCAGGATATGTTTTGTGAATGTCTTTGAACAATGAATTTTGTATGATGTAATTTAATAAGGTATTACGTACACACACACAGTCAAGCACTTCCTGAATTCATCCACATACCACCCACTTCCTCCCAGCCGGGACATGCTGGGACACCTACCAGCTTGACCTTCCTGTCAATCAAGTAACTAAATATCCACCCACATTCCCTGTAAAAGTCTCTAATACTGGTACATGGTCCAACCAAGGATTCTTGGACGTCATGGACAAACATACACACAAACCCACCCCAAACAGTATACCCCTTTATAGGTTTCAAATTTAACATTTAACATCAGTTTTCTGAAAGTTCCTCAATATACAAACCAGTTCAATGAAAAATATGTGTAGATGATTAATTGTAATATTATGCATAATATAATTTTAGCACGCGAAAATGACGTCCATAAACAAAATAATCATGCCCCCCTCCCCACGTGCCACAAACTACGACATACTTGATTTAAGAAACAAAGAGCCAGAAAACGTACCGGATACGTGTCACAGATCATATCGCTGGTGTCCATCAGCATGTTTTGTGGATTTTGAGGCTTCTGTGCGGGGAAAAACGCAGGTTTTTGTCGATTTTCGCTCACTGACACTTTCTTGGGCGACTGGTTTGTTCGATTTGACAGACGGGACAAAGCACCGTATTTGAGACGGTTTGGGTATATTAAATCTAACAACGTTTTAAACAACAGTGTGGTCTAAAATATGTTTAGCTTCATGGGAATATTTATCTTTACTACATAAATGTGTGTTTTTGATCTTAATGGTATAATATGATGAGTTACAAGCTAAAAATACACGCCAGTTCTCATAAAGCAAATACCGTGCTATGTTTTATTATGAGACGGGGCAAAAGGTTATTAGTCAGTTCCACTTTAAAAAGGTATGTGACTTAGGGAATCAAATCATAAAAGTCCTAATTTAACTGAAATAGTTAAAATCTTAAATACATGTACTAAATTAAATATTTGTAAAGGTACAAACCTGATGATGTTGGCTATTTACTACTTTTAACTTATCGTTTTAAATTTCTAATTTTCTAAATCCCCCCTTTTCTAATGGTCTCTACCATCAAAGGCGACGCGCCATGCGATGAACTGCTAGAAAAGACTGTTGACAAATTCCCTCAACAATAACAACAAGAAGAGGTATGGTTTACAGTGTTTTTCTTGAATTATTGTTTGCTGCTGTATTCTAGAATATCTTGAAAAAGATTGACTAATGTATTTGCATGTATTAGGCTTGAAATCTGTCGTCAAAGACTCTAAACTCTGCAACAGTAAACAACTAGGCATGGTCACTGGTGTGTCTGTGTGTTTGCTTGTGTTTCCGTAGCTAAATTTTCTACATGCTAGCCACGGGGCCTGGACTAACAGGAAGTTACTTGTAGGTCAAAGGTCCAAGAAAAGGTTATCTCATATTCCTGTCTTCAAAAATGCCTGTCTGTTGCCTTGTAGTATACAGTGGGAAAATGTATAAAGTAGACAGAATCAGCAAGAAATTCACAATAACGAATAAAACAAGAACTCCACAAGATATGTTTCACGGAGTTTAGGTCTAAGGTCCCAGAAAAGGCTATCTTATTGCGTCTTCAATTTCCAGCTGTGTTGAGGACCAGTGTGAAAATGCATAGACAAAATCAACAAGAAATTCACAATAATGAATAAAACAAAAATATTTACAACAAAAAATGTTTGTTTTACTGTACACCTACAGCAGCTGCCATGAAGATCGCTGTTGAGGGCTGTGCCCACGGTGCACTGGAGGAGATCTACGGCACGCTGCAGTACCTGGAACAGCAGGAGGGGATCCAGGTGGCGCTGCTGCTCTGCTGCGGGGACTTCCAGGCTGTGAGGAACGCAGACGACCTGGAGTGCATGGCCGTGCCCAAGAAGTTCCGCTTCATGGAGTCATTCCATAAGTAAGGCACATCTGCTACTTAGTATCATGAAAGATCATATGTGTTTATATTTATGTTTAAAGTTAAAACGTTTCATTTGTTCTACAAACGCAAGAAATTGTTGTCACAGTTGTCACAGAGCTTTTGACAAGTGTTTTTAACTTTCAGTGTATCTATTAAATCGTATGCCCTTGTACAGTATATTTTTTTTTTAATTCTGATCTTGACATCTTTTGTCCAGGTACTACAGTGGAGAGAAGAAAGCTCCCTATCTTACCATCTTCATTGGGGGAAACCATGAGGCCAGTAACTACCTAGCTGAACTACCGTATGGAGGATGGGTGGCTCCAAACATATATTACCTTGGTAAGCAATGGTCCATTCATTTCTATATTGCTTTTGCTCAGTTTCTTCTTCTTCTGCAATCACATAAGGTCAATGACCTGGACCAGACTGCTATCGCCATGGTAACTGGTACTGTAGCAGACATCCTGTAGTGTTGGGTTAAATTATGTAGCAAGTATCAGCTCAGATTTAGAGGGGCTGAAGAATAAATAGATGTGTAAAAAAACAATTAAAGTACATCATACAATTCTAGGAGTAATAACTATATCTACTTCCTGGAAGTTTGAAATCTGATTTCTTGTTTGTTTGTTTATTTGTTTGTTTGTGTGTGTAGGGTATGCTGGTGTGGTAAACGTTGGTGGGATCAGAATAGGTGGTGTCTCTGGCATCTACAAGTCACATGATTACAGAAAAGGTAAGTTTCTTATTGTCAGCCTCAGATTCACTTTTCTTAGGAAGAAAATAGTGGCTGAAACATGTTGCCTGAATTCTTTTCAGCCCTCTACCGACTTTTGTGAAACTCTAGCTCTCTCATGCATTATTGCTCGAGAAACTATTGATCTATTGGGAGACTGCAATGGAAAATTTGGAATTCCTTGTAAGAAAAACATTATTTTGTGTTAGGTACTGTGCTCATGTTTTGAATTTTACTTACTGTTGTGTGTTGAATATTTTTATTGTTTCTCTCTAGGTCACTATGAAGCCCCACCCTACAATGAGAACAACAAGAGAAGTGCCTACCACATCAGGAGTCTGGAGGTCTTTAGGATGAAACAGGTTAAAACACAAGTCATAATTTAACCCTCACCAGACTAAAAACAAGATTTGGACTCAGGTTACAGGATACATTGTATAAAGCTATAGGGACCCTTACCCATGAAAGTTACAAATTAACCCTTGTTTTCCTTAGTTTGGCTGAAGAAAGCCATTGCCATAAAAATGACCGGTTAACCCTTGTTCACCTCAGCTGTAGAGACAGCACAGCCATAAAAATGAGAAATTAACCCTTGTTCTCCTTGGTTGGCTGTAGACACCATAGCCATGATTAGGACAAATTAACCCTTGTTCTGCTTGCTTGGCCATAGTGACCCATAGCCCTGAACATGACCATTTAACCCTTGTTCTCCTCAGCAACCCATAGCCGTTTTTAATAGCAACCCATAGCCATGGGAATGACAGATTAACCCTTATTCTTCCTAGCTGAAGCGCCCCATAGACATCATGATGAGCCATGACTGGCCCCGTGGAGTCTACCACTGTGGCAACACAAAGCAGCTCCTGGCCAAGAAGTCTTTCTTCAGAAACGAGATAGAGACCAACACGCTGGGCAGCCCCCCCGCTGAGGAGCTTCTGCGAGCGCTGAAGCCGGCGTACTGGTTCTCTGGTCATCTGCACTGCAAGTTTGTGGCAGCAATAGAACATGAGGTAATAAGGGCAATCGCCATGATGGCCCATGATGTCATGGCAAGAAAGTGATAGGCAAAAAGAGGGTGACAGTTCGGTGATTTGCCTACTGATAATTTGCATATGTCTTAAAATAATTTGCATATAGTCATAGTAAATGTTCTAGTTTTTATTTAAACCTTTGTACAAAGTCTACAAGTGTACAGTTGGCTACATGTGTAACTTACAGATAATTAGCCAAAATAGGCCTGTACCGAAACCCATGTACCAATGTATGCTTAGTATTTGACAGTTGCTATTGGAAAATTATGGCAAAGTTACTCATTCAACCTTTTTGATGCTGCATAATCAATAGAGAATTGGTACCCAAACTGCTGCATGTTCCTCAGTGTGCTAAAGGTTAAAGGTTCTTGTTCTTGTCTTCAGAAAGAGGGACAGGAGACACCGAAAGTGACAAAGTTTCTTGCACTGGACAAATGTCTTCCTCGCAGAGACTTTCTTCAGGTTTGTTTGTGTTTGATTTTAAAATGATTCTAAGACCCCCCCACACATTTAAAATCTTGATCACAATACCTCTTGTATTCCTCCACAGATTATTGGCATTTTTCATCATTGACAAATCCCACTTTTTGTGGATTGAGCCCTGACACCTCCTATGTTCCTCCACAGGTTATTGACATCCCCAGGAATGAGTTTGAGCCGCTGGAGTTACACTACGATGCCGAGTGGTTGGCCGTCCTACAGGGGACCAACCATTTGTTCAGCACCTCCAGGGTGCCCATGAACATGCCATCACAGTTCACGGATGACAGGTCAGGGGTCAACCATTAATACTGTGTGAGAGGTTGAATGGCAGAATGAAGAAAGGGGTGAATGAATGAATAGTAAGAAGTGAAAGAAATGTATCAAAACTTTGTTTTCCCTAAACAAAATATTGTAACAACATCGGTTTTGAAGTCAGAATCCCGTATTCAAATTTTCTATAGTGGTGCACTCGGTGCAATCAAATTACATGTACTAGTATTCTATGGAACAATTGGAAGCTTGTTATCACATGGTTCATAACACCTATATCAAAAGTTATTGTGGCCAAGCTATGACATAAATGTTTTTATCTACACTCTTATTTATTCTTTTCTTATTTATTTCAGATGGGACTACTCTGTAAGTGCAGAAGAAATGGAAGGTGTGAAAAAAGCCTTCAACGGCGACCTGAAGGTCCCAGAGAACTTCGTGCAGACGGCGCCAACCTACAACCCCGCTCGATTGCAGAACGCCAGACAACCAAACCTAACAATCAACCCACAGACCACTCTGCTGTGCAGCAAACTAGGGGTCACCGACCCCTGCAAAAAACTCCTGAAAATCGCTGAGGGAAACCCCGACGAAATCAGCTTGGAGGATGACGACGATGATGATGATACCCACAATCCTGAGGAAATCAGCACCAGTGATGTAGATGATGCAGATGATGATGACAGTGCTTCAGAAGAAGTTATTGTACCAGTTAACCCCAACACCACCGAGCCTGTCCCAAGCCAAGAAGAAGCAAGTATCTCCGACGAAGAAGCAGAACTGATTAAAGAGATGCACAGAATCCGTTCGTCGCCGGCGACATCACAAGACGACAGCTCAGACGTCCTGACCTCCCCGTTCCACACGGGGTCGGAGACAGAGAGCGCGGCACCGGATTTGTCCGACTCAGATTCTCTGCACCAGGGGAAGACAGACTCAGACAGCGGGAAGAGGAGCAGTGAGAATGAAACAGATGGGTCAGGGTCTTCTAAGAAAAAGTTCAAGAGAAGAAATCAGGCCATGTATGAAGACACGGAAGAGAGTTGTTAGGTTCACTAGTTCTTTCATGTGTCATTGTTACTACTTTGAACAATAGATTACTGATGTCAATTGGCTAGATGTGTAGGGCTCACACCACAAATAGTGGTTGTTAATACACATGAGAGAAACTGATATTTAATAGAAAGTACCTATTGAAATGGACCAATAGAAGAACTTTGGCACTTATTCCAGTACATAAAATGTGATAAATGTCATTATAGTGTATTACTCTTGAAGACTCTTTTATTTCATCTGCTTGTAATGTTACGACAAAATGTTGCTGATTTTGTTAGTTTTATCCTTCTGAAAATCATGAAAGAGGCAAAGAATTTGGAAAAAGTTAAAATGTTTAGCTTGAACCAGTTTAGCTCAGTGAATTCAAAGAAAAGTTGAGCTACGTACTCTTGCACTAGTCATGAGAAAACAGATGCTATGTACAGCTCATAGACAGGTTCATTGTACCAGGGAAATTCCTCTAACTCTTTTTGACAAGTGCAGTATGAATAGTGACCCACAGTTTAATGTTCAGTCCTGTGGACTGTGACCATGGTTTGTAGTAGAGTGCATATTGGGTGAGTGACACAGCCGGGATTCAAACTCCAAACCTCTTGGTCTGCAGCAGGGTCACTAACTATTGCACTATGCACACTACTTTAAGTAAAATGTTTTTGTTTCTGTTAGCATAACCTTTGTTGACTTCCTTTTCCAAACAGTTGTACTTTAAAAGTTTTGCTAGTGCAAGTAGTGAAACATATTTAATATACTGTATCAGTTGGAGGCAGGGTCACTAACCATTGCACTATGCACACTACTTTAAGTAAAATGTTTTTGTTTCTGTTAGCATAACCTTTGTTGACTTCCTTTTCCAAACAGTTGTACTTTAAAAGTTTTGCTAGTGCAAGTAGTGAAACATATTTAATATACTGTATCAGTGATTTGTAAAATAAAGAAGTTTTTTTAAAAAAGGACAACAGATGATTTGGGACATTGTTTTTGCAGAAACTTTATTTTCTCTCAATTCCCATCCAAAAAATAGCAATCAATAAAGGAATTTAACATTACTTGACTGTAAACATTTTCGCCAATAGTATTTTAATCGCAAAATAGTACAGATTACACTATTAAGGCACTTAATATTTTCAGAAGACCATACATGTTGCACATACATGTTCCCAGCTAAACCTACATTCTCAAAGGTAAACTTACCACATAATATTTTATGAATAATACTTCAACTCCCCTCAGCTCCACTCAATAAAGATATAAGCATAGAAAAAAAGTAATGTCTTCTAGCATATGTACGATATTGATAACCTTGTACATTTAAAGTTCATCCTTTGCATCCTCGACATCTTTTTCACTCTTTTCAGGCACCTTCTCTTCTTCCTTTGCTTGTTCTTCTGCCTTTTCTTCCTTTGCTTGTTCTTCTGCCTTCTGGTTTTTCCGCTGTTCCCGTAGCTGAGGTGTGTCCCTCTGGCAGGTGAAGCCATCCCCCACATACCCCATGGCACAGGTGCACCTGTAGCTGTCCCCCACGTTCTCACAGATGGCCTGCGGGGCACACTTGTTCAGGCCCTTCACACACTTGTCCAGGTCTGTGGATAGAGGGAAGGAATAAAGAACATTGGGAGGAAAGTACCAAAGCCGAAATCGACAATGTGTCAAAGTTTCTCCAGTCATTTCCATCGCTTTCACACTTTACATTGTCCATTTGGGCTTAGGCCACACCAATTTAATTTGTTGGTTCTCGGATTTTTTCAGAAAAAATATGAAGCGACAGGGCGAAAAAAAAATAAAAACAAGGAGAAGTCGTAGACATCGTCCCTCCATGAAATAGCTTGTTATTTTGTAATCTTTTGGTGTATTTTAATAGAGATATTATGAGTCAAACTTTGTTTTTATCAGCAGAATGATAGATGTCTATAGATGTCTATCCTTTAAGAATTTTGTTGTGGCACTTCGTATTGGAAGGGGTTGCCCAAGCTGTCATGTGCAATCGTTTAGTGTCTTGTTAAAATGGTTTGTTTGAGGTCAATGACCTCTCAAGCACCAGATGACCCAGTTCCCTGCTGAATGACCGATTAAAGATAAGATATATTTCCTGCAGAAATGGTCTAGAGGTTGGCCTGACCTGCCAGCTGGAGGTATAAACAAAAACACTCTGTGCCAATTTGGGGTCAAACAGACCATCCTATTATGAAATAGGGGTGAAAATGTGAAAATCCTTTTAAATAAGCAATGCAAATCTACGACAACCTGCTAATGCACGCTAAAACGCAAAGACAATCAGCATCTACCCACATACCAAAAATGATCGCCAACCATCCACCGGGTTCTGAGATCATTCAACGCAAACAATCTGACATTGAGATAGCAATTCCGGTTCAAAGCAAACAGCTAGGGGGCCCAAATTTACATCACTAAACCATTGTAACCACAACTACATGCTACCTTAGCATCGCACACACAGACCATAACGTGCCAACAATAGAATAAAAAAATTAAACTGCAGTACCAAGGTCAATCACCAGGTGCTCAAAGTCAACCTACACAATCTCCAAGGCCCCATCCATCAATCTGCCAAATATCATACAGTTCCTTCTCACCGATCTTCAGATATCAGACCAAACATGAAACGGAGTAAAAACAATACCCCCCATTTACATGGAGGGTAATAAAAACAGGTCTAGGCATCCTATTATAGCCCCAAATGCTACAATATGAGCCATGAAGTCAACAAAAAAGGCTGGGTTAAAATTTAAAGTATAAATTTTGAACTTTTAATCAAACCACTGCATTGATAGATGGAAAAAACTGTAACAACTAGGAAGAAAAGGAATTTCCTCAACTGTTGGGGGCAAAATATGAGCATTTTTGAGTTGATTCAGAACCAGAATCTTTTTTTTTTTTGCAAATCAGAAAAAAATGAAGAGGCGAATCCGAGAACCAACAAATTAAATTGGTGTGGCCTTAAGTAGAAATGATTGTATTGGAAGACTGACATGATTGAAGTTTAAACATTTGATCCACCAGCAAGAAAATTGACCAAAACAAGAATTTAGAGATTTCGACTTTCAGAACTATTTTGGGTTTTCATGACATAAAAGTTTACCCCCATTTCCTGTGTCTGGCCTTTTGACCTGTTATTCTGCCTGTCAATATTCCCCACCCATGTGCTGTCAAGATAAATAGACACACACAGTTTAAAAAGTCACAAACAACTCTCTCCATACCTTTGTAACTCCTTTCTGGCTTCTTCGGTTTCTTTGCCTTTGGCTTCTTTTTCTTGCTCTCCTGTCCAGGTTTTTCCTTCTCACAGGTGAAGCCGTCTCCCTCGTACCCGATGGCACACTCACACTCGTACCCGTCCCCTGTGTTCTCACAGATAGCCTTTCGGCTGCACTTGTCAAGGCCTTTTGCACACTCGTCAATATCTGTGGCAACAAGAAATATAAGATTTCAGACTTCTCAGAAGCTAGTATTTGGGGGTTTTCGTGAGTTTCTTGGAACAACCGAAAAGATTCTATGACATACTATTTAGGATAGAAACTGTGCAGGGTTGGAGGGTCACTCATGCAATCCTTGGCTTCCTGAATTCCCCCATGCCCACCTCTATTTACCGGCCAGATTCAGGAATTTTCGAGTTCACCCTATTTCCTGTGTCTGACCTTTTGACTTGTCATTATGCCTGTCAATCTTCCCCCAATCTTGTAGCTTTTTTCACGAAGCTATGCAAGTATATTCTGGATGCTATATCTAGATCAAGACCCCATTTTGTACTCACCCAGCTCACAGATGAATGGATATTCCTCTCTACATTCGGTGTCCTCCCATGTCCCTGTTGAAAAAGAATTGGATGGTTGAGTAAGTTGGAAAAAAATTACCAGAAAATTGACTTTGAGAACCAAATTTTACTGTCCTGAAATTGAACTGGACGGCATTAAAGTGTCGGTACCTGCCCCACCCTCCCAGAACTGTGCGCAGCTCTCCCCACCCCCGTTGGGCGCCCCCGGGTACCAGTTCTTGTACATCTTCCTGGTCATGTTGGTGCCGTCACTCCACTGCCACACACCGATATCTCTGTCAGGCTGGGGGAAACGGGAATATACAACATAACATTAGCCAAACGCAGTGGCTATTGGCTGGAACTTTAGCAGCAACAAAACTCTAGCCAGCACCCGTCATTTGACAGAATTTTACAAATAAGAAATTCGCTCAAACCGCCGACTCTGACAGACAAAATCTTTGTCTGAATTTAACAAAGAGCTTGTAACTTTGCAAAGTTACAAAAGACATTTAGCAACAACAAAAATTGTGGCAAATTAATACGTTTTCCCGGAGGATATTGGAAGTCAAAGCTAGAAAAGTGCTCGAAACGATTTCACATCAAGAAGAAATGTTTGTGGCACTAACTTTGAGACAATTGAATCTTATATATTGCTGAGTCAGTAAAAAGAAAATTGAAATATTCTATCGTTATCCATGGCCCACTACCAATACGTACATTTGAAATATCTTGCAGGCCTATCCATACGTCACGATCCCCGGCCAGTTTCCAAACGAAATCATTTTCTTCCTGGCTGGTGATCTTGACGGGGATCGCTTCAGCGTGGAAATATTCCCTGCACAGATATTCAGCCATGATCCACTGGGTAGGCGTATCAACGACCCGGTAACAACTGCCGCCGCCCTGCGTCCAACCGCCTTCTTCGGGACATAGACCTGTTAGTATATGGGTAGGAAATAATGTAATGGTTTTATAATGTTTAAACTGTTTATAATACGTTTAGAAAGCTGGCAAATACAAATTATGTATATGAAGCATGTTTTAAAAGTACGGACACTTTTAGCTAAAACTGCGATGTTCGTTCCTCTATAAATCGAGAAAAACGTGAAAACAAGACAACTAAGTACGGAAAATAGTCACTTATCTGAGCTGAACACAATTATGACTGCATGTTTATTTCAATAGATACAAAAAAAGTCGAGCCTGCAAAGTCCCAAAATATACTTCTTAGTCCATTGATGCCGTCGACCCTTCGTTATAGCTACAGGCATAGCCCCCGGTACACTTTTGACCCAAATGATGACAAATCTGAGTTTTACTCCAAAAACAAAGTAAGGAAGCTGTATATTTCATCCTTTTGAGTTTTCATGGCCACAAACAAATAATTCTGACAAATGCATAAGTCTCGTTGTTGCATGTGATGATTATCCTGACCTTTCTGTACGGGTGTTTTGTCTTTATCAGACCAGTGGGCGGACCAACCGGTCTGCAGAAGACATAGCGTCGTCACAAGTAACGCCTCCTGGCGCCGGGACAATCTTACTGCAGGCATTTTTTTCTGAAAACGGAGAAAAATTAAGTAAAATGATGTGGCATATGTATAGGAAGAATGATATTTCCTCAGTTCTTATCCTGTAGTTTTGGTTATTCATAAAACTGAGCAGATAAGATGTTATTCTTGTAAATTCTTGGATATGTTTACTGATATCATGATACTGGTACTGTTTGTTATATCTTTTCAGTTTACGTTAAAGATTATGTCTATAACATACTACATGGATTTTCATGTTTATTTTGTATATCTAAGCCGCGATGTGGGCACTTCCGGGTTCCGGTACGATTTGAAACCACGTCCCCTATGCTACACTGCTAATGTCGTCAAACATAAATCTGCGTAAAGATTTCATAAACACGTTCGTAAGTACTATTTTCCATGTACATCTTATAAATGTATCATGATAACTGATCAAGGACCGTTCAGAACACTATGATCACTTCACTTGACTGTCAGAGTTTTGCTGTGTGGAAAGGACCTATACGACTTCGCTGCACTGATTTTCATACAGCAGTAACTCCCAGATCAAAAACTTGTGGTCGTATTAGAGTGAGAATTATGATGTTTAACAAGAGGAAATATGTTTACCAAGTTCGCTATTCATATTACATGTACAGTAATATTAATGTTTTGGCATGTAAACGCTGACGTGTTATTATAACAAAAAGTAAACACAGCCTTACCTCCAAAGTTGAGTCTACCTCTGACAAAACTCACTTCCGGGTTGGCAAAGTTGGACCAAAATAACCGCAAAAGCGACTCTTTTTCCTCAAATTTCACCAAATCAGTGAGACAGGGATCTCGTGTCTACCTACACTGATAGAATCAGAGAAGTCCTGTTTTGGGAACTACTACGAGATCGACCTATTTGGGGTTTACACGTTGTCCAATGGGGGAAGACCACGGCACAACCTTTCCAAGTTACGTAACATTTTGGATAATTGCCAACTTAGAGGGCAACAAACGCAAAAATGAGCAGAAAGGGCTGGACTTAACTGAAATAAAAAGTATACAACTATTTTTCATTTACTTGTATTTCATGACAACATTTGTCATAGTGTAAACTTGCACTAGTATTCTCAGACAGTTTTAGAATGAAGAAGTTAACGTGTTCGTTTCGTTGCCTTCTTTGTAAAGACAACTTTTCTGAGGTTTAGCAGGTGTTCTGGAGGTAGCCTCGGTCTACAGGCTTCTCGGTGGGTAAGGTGTCGTTCTCAATGCTGCGTCATCCTTTCTTGTTGCTAGCGCATTTAGTGTCAAGCGAAATCACAAACACAGTTACTAAAGCACTCTTATAGAATATTCCATTGATAAGACAATCTCACTTTTTATGTCACAATTTGGCCCTTCTTAGAGCCTGGTTAGAGGCTACTGTTGTCCCAAAACATGGTTTATGTAACAACCCGTCGGTGCAGTTTGTTGGGACTTTAATTATAGGTTACGGATGGCCCCAAGTGGCACTTGTTGTGTTCAGAGAACGCCACCTAACGAACCACCTGTTAATTACAAGGAATCAAGGCAAGTTCGACAAACAATACAACAAGGAAAGACAGATATATTTTTAGGCTTGTATGGAACTAGACTTTCGAACATTTTCATTTAGGCAAAAAACTGTTAATTAAGTTCAAAAATTACCAAAAATCTGAATGAAGAACAGCAGATTCGACTTATTAGCCTGGTTACCAAACCTATTATAGCTCCCAAGTCCTACAGCCTCTCCGCAAGAGGATGTAGGACTCGGGAGCTATAATAGGTTTGGTAGCCAGGCTAGGTTCGACTAGAGACCGATATTGCTTCAAGCGATAGAAAAAGTCGTCTGATATTTCTATTCAGAGTGATATCTTGAAAGTAGGTTTTGACCTTGGAACTCTCCTTACTGAATTGAGTCGACCAAAAAGCTCTTGTATATATTGCTTTTGAATGGCAAGGAGATTAGAAAAATGCCTTTGTCGTCTTAACACTGAAACCTTAAACCGTCCCCGCGTCTTGAGTCAAAAACTCAAGGACCGTCGCGTTGTCTTGGTTTTCTTTAGCCGAGTTCCGAGTTACGTTGTTTCGAGTATCGTTCCAGTTTTGCTCTGTAACGCGTAAAGAAGAAACAAACGCTAACGTTAAGTATAATTTAAAGGCAGCCAAAAATGCAACCGGAAAATAAGGAATCTATCGGCGTCTACTTAAAGACCATGTAATAAGTATCTTTACGTTCTCGTATAAGATGTGTATAGATAGGTAAAGATGCCATTTTAGATGGAAAAACGTCTCCTTTGAGCATGATTTAAGTATGCTTAAAGATACCGTTTTCGTACCGTGTAACTTGTTAATGTTTTGTTCGCAATTTCTGACCGGCCTTTGTAAAAAAAAGAGGATTAATTCCTTTGCAACCCACAAACTTCTTTAAGTAATGACCTATTTCATTGGTTTGTGGGCATTTGCGTTTGAAAAGAAAACCAATCGTTCAACATTGTTGCGTCTACAGCTGGCTTTGTCACTCATTCGGCTTGTCATAACCGAATTACAATCATCTAAACCTAGATCCAGTTGCGATCAGTTCAAAAGACATATCAGCGAGAAACAGCCACACATTCAAATAGGGAAATAGTTGAAAAGACTAGCCAGTAAGGTTACACCCTAGTACATAAAGCACGAAACTCTAGAAGGGTCGCACCACAAATTCTTTATAGGGGCCAGAAAACCTTTAAATGCTTATGATATCATCAGTGAGGATAGTGGCAAGAAAAAAACTAACTCTAAATTTCCAAAAAGAGAAGAAACCGATTGAAGAAACTTTGAATAGTTTTAATACGTAACGAAGAGAGTAAATAGAGGGACAACCAGGGCTCGGTAACCTGAGACGTTACATAACATGAGAGAATGTCTTCAGTTCAACTCATGTGGCTTTAAGTACACACCCGGTGTTTGGTTGGAAGAATTAGGGTCACTGCCCGTCAAAGCCGGCATACAGGCCATCCCGTGTGGTTACCATGCACAGGACCCCCTCATTGAGACTCGCACTGCGTGAACTACAAATGTCAAGACAAGAACACCAGTGACGACAAATTGACTTAACCGTTTGGTAACTTTGTTTCTTTGTCGTTTGTAAATACGATTGGCAACGGTATTGTCAGGAAGTGTTCTGGGACTAAAGCGGTGGAGACGATTTGAGTTGCAGGTGTAATTGCAAGTGGCTCCGGAGGCCGGCTTGGTGCAGGACCTGTACGGAACGTTTGGTCTCAGCTAGACCCGGGGGCGTGAGTATGCATATCCATCAACCGAGGACAACCTTTCCACGACAGGTGAAATAACCACCTCTGGAGAAGGATTCACCATGGATAATTCTGCGGCGCGAAAACTCGCCAGAACCATGGACAGGGACAGACGAAAGTCCGCCAGAAAGCCAAGAGTTGTCGGAGCTTCGCCTCAATTCAAGGAAATATTGTCCTTGCCGAGTATAGGCGCGAATCAGAAAATGGACGCCTTTCGTTCAAGTGAACAGGGTGAGACAAAGGTGCATCCGATTTTTTCAAAGGGAGCTGAAGTCAAGATGGCGACTGCTCCCCGTTTCCGTGGCTACCGTGCAAAAACTGCTGTATCGTCTGTAACTGAGGAAGTCATGGCCAGGAGAAGAGGCTATGGGGTACCCGAGAGGAGGACGGTGGATTATTACCTCAGGGGTTACCGCGAAAGACTTCCTGTCGTATCGTTTGACTCGGGAAGTAACACAAGAAGAAAGGATAACAAAGTCAACGCACGGAGACCCAAGCCAGAAGCGCCGAAAGCGACCCACTGCACCGTTCACTGTTTCAGTCGCAAAGACCCTCCCGTGTCGTCTGATTCTGACAGAAAAGACGACGTAGAAAGGGTTAGTGACCGTTTTGCCGCGCTTGACTTGGACAGTAGGGCGTTAGGGCTGGCCAGAGAGAGAAGAGAGAGCCTAGAGCTGAGTAGAAGCATCACGAGTCTTCAGGACACGATAACTGACATGTTGTCCAGCATGAGAGGACGGGAAGGACTGTACGAAGGATTCGGGTTGAGGAGACAGAGTGCGCCGCAGATCATGTTGACTAGTACTGCAGACAGAGAAGAAAATGTGCTGGAGGAAAACGCTCTAGATCTGTTTCAAAAGGAATGAAGAAAATAGTGACCAGATACAGCTTGTAACGTTAGGCCACACCAAATTAATTTTATGGATGACATCCGCGCGCGCATTGATTTTCGCCTGTTCTCAAAAAAGAAAAAAAGATCACGTCCTCGGAGGCTCTAGGCCTGGGTAGTCAGTCCACGGCTTGTTGTATACGGCGCTATGTACTGCCGCAAATTCACAATACCAGCTTTGTATTCCTGTGGTTTAGCAGCATTTTTATTTTTGGCCGGAATTTTTTATTCGCCCGCGCACACTAGTTTGGTGGTCGTCGAGAGGATGGCATCCATAAAATCAAGTCGTTGTGGCCTGTTCCACATGACCAAACAAATAACCTATAGAAACGGCACTCCTTTGCGCACTACAATAGCTAAGCGTAACACCTTAACACACCTTACATATTATACATACTTAGGGTCTTATCTGATAAGTTTGTCACAACAGAACAACAGAAAGCCACAGGATATTAAGCTTAGGCGTCCCCGTATTGGTGGGATCTTCGCTTGACCAAGTTTACTATAGATAACGTGTTGAAATGACACGCCTAGTTTGACTTTTAGCAGGCAGCTTTTTCAACATATACAGACAACGGACCACAAATTCTCTCCATGTGTTTAATGTCGAATGTTGAATGTCCGCTGTGCAAAGTGTACATGAATTATGACCGTACATGCAGGGAAACATTAAACACATAACATTGTGATACATTCACAGACACATAATATTGCACAGTTTCCTTAAATGTTGCACAGTTTTCCTTAAAATCATTACAAGAATTTCTCAAACGAGAACTTAAAAGTTAACAGAGGTGCATAGAGGTGATTTTTAGAATGTACGGAGCTCAAATTTAGAGTGTATAGCGGTGATTTTTAGAATGTATGGGGGGGGGAGATTTTTAGAATGTATAGAAGGGATTTTTCGAATGTGAAGAGGAAATTTTAGTATGTATAGCTGTAGGCTCCGTGTAGGTACAGAATTTAGCATTTATTGTTCTAAAAGTGTCTTTGTGAAATGTTTATAAAAAGATCATGTCCACCGAGGCTCTGGTCTGGGTAGTCCATGGTAGTTAGCAACAATGCCGGGCACCCAGGCTACCTAAGCTCCACGAATCAAGAACTCAGTACATACGAACAGTGCCGAGACTGCCGACTTATAACTTCGGCAAAAGCCAGCATGTGCCGGCTTGTTGTATATGTTGGTATGTACTGCAGTAAATTCACAACACCAGCTTTGTATTCCTGTGATTTAGTAGCATTTTTATTTTTGGCCGGATTTTTCTTTTATTCGCCCGCGCGCACTAGTTTGGGGGACTTAAGAGGATGTCATCCATAAAATTAAGGCGGTGTGGCCTTACTACTTTTCTGTCACCCGGTCCGATCACTCATGATTCGGACACTTGTCTTGAAAGTACATTCGTTCACTGAAAAGCGGATGTTAAAGATCCGTTATTCGACTTTTAAAGCGGACATTCCGTAGTACTTCCGTGGGTCTGTGGAATCGGTCATTACTCAACAATTCTTTCATGGTTTGCCTAAATCACGTGCGTGTATTTACTATAAATAGTAGTACTACACTGTCCACGACACTAAATATGAATATAAGGCAAGGGCATATTCACACTGCAGATGTGGCGCCAGATTATGTAACATATATCTGTAAAGTTTGTAAGGAATCTATACTAATATTTCATGTGAACGTTTAATAGCAATCGACAGATATACATATATATAAAAATGTGTTCTTTATATTAGGAAATTAGTTAGGCTTTCTGGATTTCTGAAAAAAAAATGCTGTCTTGAATAGGAAATCCTTGCTAAATATTTTGCATTGAATCCAGACTTCGAAGGTACTGAGACAAGAAAGTCTCTCAAATTTTTGCTCCAATGTTTATGTCTGGGCAGTGGCGTCCTCTAGCAGACGTTATGGGTACTGCACCCGTGCAGCATCTGTGAATATCTTTTTAACGGGGATGTGAAAAGAATTAATTACCTGCACGATAGCTGTGCTATCAGCAGAGAACGGAAGTAAACGTGCGTAATAAAACGTCCATGAGGATCTCCTGATTCTAAATCTCCTATCTGTGTTTTCATCTTGGCTAGAATGACGTCAATCCAGTAATTAATCATGTCACTAATTTCCCGTGCCTTGATACTTCATCCATTCATTAAACTAGACTCTAACAGGCTTCGTAGATGACTGGAAAGGGTAGATAGACGGATAACATGCCAGTCAACGAGATTTCAGTGGACTATAACCTTCTAGGTCCGCCCAAGGAGTACATTTGTCGCCTCTCAAACAAGGTTTCAGAGTCGGCTGGAAAGAGTAAAAATTGGCCAAATAGACTCATTTAAAAGCTTAGAGAGTAACGTTACATTTGCCGCCTACCGAATGAAATGCACCCCTTTAGCGCGAAACAACTCCGGATCCCCTGGTATGTTATCTGTCTATTTGGTCAATTTCTACTCTTTCTAAGCTTCCAAGCTGGTAGAGACTAATTCCGAGTAGATCTTTCGGTGGCCGCAAAACATCAACAAATTGGCAATACAGTATCAAATCAGCCAGGCATCTGAAGCGTCAAGAAAATATAGCATTGCAAAACAGAAAGCCCGATAAAAACGCCTAAAACACCCCAAAATAAGCCGAAGCCTAAAGCATTGCTTTGAGAGTATAATATCTCTATTTGGCCAATTTCTAGTCTTTCCAGCATTTCTGTTTGGCCAAGTTCTAGTCTTTTTGAAGTCTGGTTGAGACTAACATTATACGTCAAAAAGCAAGTATCGTCACTCCTATGCCTCACACGCGTTCTATGTCTGTCGCATTTCTTTGATGAGCGCCGGTCAAGCGGATATATATACGTCACCGTTTGGGCCTTTTACGACATAACATGCACCAACGAGCAAATGCGTTTTCAAACTATCGTCATGTGAACCTTCCGTACGTGTGCATTCCATAAACGTCTTGTACAATTATAATCTCCAAGAAAATTTCTTCGGGGGCAAGCTAGGCATGCCAAATTGGACACCGGCATCCATGTATACGTATACTAGTATATAAATTTGAGGGGCTTTAACAACCCCTACTGTCGTATCCACTGTCGTATCCGTATCCGTATACGTATACGTATACGGGGGCAAATGGATACTGGTGGCCAATTTTATACTGCCTCCCCCCCCCCAAGAAATATGCTTGGAGAATATACAAATTTTGTTTAAATTATAATGTGATTTGATTGTAATTTTACTTTTGTTTCTAGATTATTAGTATTTTGCATTGAATGGACTACTCTTGGGTTATTAAACGGTTCTATTTGATGCATAACATAAAGCAAAAGGATAGCAATGATATTGAAAAAAATTAACAACGTAATCGCTTTGATATTGTATTACAGACTTTTATTAATACAGCGAAAATTTCTGTATCTGACTTACACTACAGATATGTGTAGAAGTGTAATTCGATTCTATGGTCTCTAACAACAAGCTCTCAAATAAAACACCCAGTTGTTTTTAGCTTAATGCAGTAGAATGGTGAAATCATCGTCCATTCCGGAGAGTTCAACTTTTTTTAGGATATCGACTGGGAACGAATTAGCCGATGACGCCCGAACTCGACCGTCAGCCAATCAGAGCGCGGGATTTCCTGGGAATGACGTCATTAGGTGAACCTGTGATGGCGGGATGAACCACTCGATCAGTATGGAGGGGGAGGGGCTAATCTCCAAGCAGATGTTAGAAGTGACAATTTCTAACGTTTTATGAGCAATTTTCCGACATTTGGAATGGTAGTGCGCCATAAAAACTTTTTTCTTGACATCAAGGCTGTCAGAAATGAAACATTTGATAGTTTCACCTTCTAGCATCTGCTTGAAAATTAGAATGGCAATATTTAGTCTGCACGTATCCGTCCAAGGCCGATGGGGACAGTACGTTTTATGCACGGAACGGGTTTAGACTTTGAACAGGGTTTTTCTGAAATGACAGGTCGTCCATTTTTTGCGGTATGGTATTATGTCGGTACTCCTCCCTCCACGGTCCATTCTGAACCGTCCCGTATAACTAGCTACGACCGCCAGGTCAGTGGGAGCCATCCTTATCTGCCAAACTAGCTGACTCCAGTGGGTTTACTGCAACTTCTGGAGCTATGGCGACCGACGTATCACGGAGAACTATATAGACATGCACAGACAGGAAGAAAGGCAGAAACAGGATGGAGTAGGTAGCCTCCTTAGCCATGTTAGCAGGCTCTACGAGAGAAGGCGACACATACACGAATTCCGAGTACAGTAGCCTCTTCCAGGCTTCGGAAGCGGTTGGAAACAGTACTAGTAGAAATTGGCCAAATTGGTAATATTCAAGCACATGTAAGGTCTTAAGACATGCTGGCAGGTCTTTAAAGATAGTTCTTCATCTTTTTTTGGCAAGACGCTTAGCTTTTCAGTAAGAACGAAAGGGACACAAGTCACAAGACTAGTGAAAATACAAACAAACAGTGAAACAAAGTCACAACCACACGAAAGATTACTCTTAAAATAATATCATACTACTCTTAAGCTGGCTGAGAGGTATAATGCAATATGACACTGATATCTCTGAGTCTGAGACTATTGAAGGAAAACGAGTACCCCGCCCCTTTAGGTTTTCAGTGATAGATGCATAATTCGATTCAGTGTGTGTCAGCGAGGACTAGTCAACGTAGGGAAGTCAGTTCTATTTGAAACATGTTGGAGAGTTGCCATCTCTAGACAAATATCTAAAGTCTAAAGTAAATTTACTGTCACTGTTACCAGAGCGTGATGGCTTCCCCCAACCTATGTTTACTGTGGGTCTGACATTGTAAGGGACAGTCCGTTAAAGCACAGGGGAGGGAGGATGTGTGTGTGGAATTTAAAGGTACCTAAAGGGAAGTAAAACTGGATTTTCAAAGTCAATTTCTGGTCATTTTTAAAATGTAGTAAGTTGAATCAACCATATGCATAGCATACAGATATCTGTGCAGCAAAAATGCGATGTCACTGATAGAATACAGTTGGTTGTTTCGTACCGTAGGCTGGTTCTAGCTACATTTATTGGTGGTACCAAAAAATAAAGGAACTAATCGCGTTCTGGCCTATTTCAAATGCTGCTTCAAGTTTGAAATGAATGATGATGAAGATGTGCTAAGAAATGGCAGTGACTGTCATGAATATCAGACAGATTTCCTCTCCCAGAATATTTGGCAAATTTCTACTCTTTCCCGCCGCTTCCGAAGCCCGGTATTGTGTCTTCCGGCTACCGACATATCTGCTTGGAGATTAGAGCCCCACGATGTCACACGACCCGTGACTTTGCACGCTACCTGAGGAGGACACGTAAGACAAGTTCGTGCTAAACTGCGCGTACGTAAGTACGCCCCTCTGTGCACCTGTTAACTAGCGGGGACAAACCGTTTTTGGTCTCTGAGAAAATAGGCGGATTCAAGTCCTCAAAAAGCCCGACTCACGTAGATCCTGCTATATACCCCGGGTGCTAGACTGTTTCCAGGGCCTACGCAGGCCAGTTCCTCGGCTCACAGCCCCCTCAGTTAGACCCTGATCCCCGCACGCTAGTGCGTGGCTAACTTTGGGCTTAGTGTGATCAACTTGGTCTACCCGTGATATCCAGGCTAAGATAAGATACTAGTCTGAGATCCTGCTAAGGAGGCCCGCGCCCACGCCGCGAGTCTATAGGGCTGTTAGTCTCTACCAGGCTTCAGAAGCGACTGGAAAGATAGAGTAGACAGATAACATGCCAGGGCCGGAGTTGGTCCGCTAAAATAGTACAGTTTGCCGCTCCCCAACTAGCTCAGTGTACTCCTTTAGCGGACCAACTACCCTGGCGTGTTCTACTCGTTTCTCAAGCCTGGTAGAGGCTAGGGGCTGTAGTTTCCGATGAAATATACTTGCCTGTTTCAAGCAATTCATCATAAGAAATACGCGGAAATGTTTGGAAGTCAGTGACTTGTCATGTGCGCTGCGTAGTCATAGCCAGGTGACATGTACACGTCATCGTTCAACGGTCACGTTGGTTAGGTGGGCGCCGATATCCAAGTAGATGTAGGGTAAAAATGGTGACATTTTCAGCAGCTGACGACCCCATGCAACTAATCTCCAAGCAGATGTTGGGAACGAAATCGTGATTACGTTTTCTGATTGTCCCATGCAATTTATCTTCAAGCAGATGTTGCTGGCCATGCCTATGGATAGAAAATCGTAACGTTTTCTGATGTCTGCGCTCCACGCAATTTACGGGATCTTCAAGCAGATATTGAGTAGAAAATCGTAATGTTTTCTTCTTCTTCTTTCTGACTGCCTCGCGCAACTAATCTCCAAGCAGATATTGGGTTGAAAATCGTAACGTTTTCTGGTTACTCCAGAGTCCAGACTGTTATTCTCCAAGCAGATGTTAGGTGGATAATCGTATCGTTTTTTTACTATCCCTCGCGCTACATGACGCTAGCAGATGTTAGGTAAAAAAAATCGCAAGTTTTTTGTGTCCCCAGCGCAACTATATGTACCAGTAATCTCCAAGCAGATTCAGGATAAAAAATCGGAACGTTTTCTGAGCCTCCGACAGCTATTGAGCTAATACCTCCACTGATCATGAGGGGCCCTGCCAGTCAGAAAACCGTAACGATTTTCTACCCCAACATCTAGATCTGCTTAATTGGAGATTATACGCACCTACTAGTATTGGTTAGTCAGAAAAACTCTTCCCAACATCTGCTTGAAATGAAGTGGGCGGGGCAGGGGGATACACTTGAGTCTGAAGGCTTTGTGTAGATGATAACAACGTGATGTTGGCATCATACGGGACCGTTACGTTAGATGACGCAGCTACATGTATGTAGGAGTTGACGTGTGCTGGGAAAATCTAGCCTCTACCAGGCTTCGCGGAAGCGGATGGAGAGAGTAGAAATTCAGCTTCAGTTGTCACGCAAATGTACTCCTAACCTTCCGGACATGTTATCTGTCTATTTGCCCAATTTCTACTCTTTCCAGCCGCTTCCGAAGCCCGGTAGAGGCTAGGAAAGGCACGATAGTTCCAGACGGATGATGTTATTGACAGTTGCCTAGTCAGGCGACAGAATTGCTGCTCCAAGTTGGTTTCTTTCGTTTCACATTTTAACCACACCCGTTTCTGAGAACTACTCTCACGCACACTTGTTGTTATTGACGGAGAAAGCTGTTTTAATCATACCTTATTAAGTAATTATCTACGGCAGATTAAAATCAAGGAGTTCAGAGTTAGACAAATCTATTATGTCTAGAGAGCACCAAACCAAGCTTATTGGCGAAATACACATCACGATTTCTTGGTCAATCTTAACTATTATTATAGGATTCCGTCCAAGTACGTTATCTCAAGGAGACTTGGTTATCTTGAAGACATTCACGATTTATAAAAAAGTGAAAGTGATTTCTTGCCTCCCCGTGACGATGAGCGGACCGCCCCCGCGCGCATGCGCCCTGGGCTCCCGCTACCCAAAATATGCCAACCATTTTTCATGTGCAATAGGTTGTGGTGCCCGACTGTGGTCAACTTTCGTAGCCGCGCCGGACTATCATAGGTCCATGTTGACCGAGATCGTGAGCTGAGTTTTGTCGGGAGGATGGCCAGGGTACCGCCGAGAGAATACGAGATCGAAACCGATCTCTACGGCGTGAATTATCCGCAGGTAAGTGGCGAGGCGAGCCCGGGTTTGTGAGCGATCGATCGCCGGGCCCCAAACCCCCTCTCGGCGAAGGGGCCCCATCGCGCTCGCCCGGCCAAAATCTCAAGTTATTTTTGCTCGCTCAGGAGACATTTTCCTCAGAACTGAGCCGGAATCACGTCTGCTCTACACAGGAGAGCCACAACCGCATGATCTGACCAAAGAAAAGTCGTACCGACCACAGGAAAATTTGATACGTTCGGGCGAAAATGTCGTCTGTAACAAGATGGATACATTCTTGATACTAAGTGGCAGATCGCTTGTAGCGAGATGTTGTTTTGGGCGATTTAGAACGCCTTAATGGCTGATAATGCACAGAAATACACCAGGACATACATCGGTTGTATCTTTGCCCAATCTGTGTGTTATATCCGTTTAAATCAAGGAAATTCTGAGGAAAACTTTGAAGGAAAATGGAGAGAGAGGACGATATTTTCCCCGCTAGGTCCCCACCTATATTTAGCCGTGCTTGTTTCGTAGATCATATTCAGAGACGTGAGGGTTTTTGCTTGCCTTGAGCATTTTCACTCCTTACTGGAGCCTTTCCTCTGTAAAAATACGATTCAAGTCTACATCCTCTCCTCAAATTTTACACTAAATCGTCCGTAATTTTGTAGGATTGTAGCCAGGAAGGCGCTATGTATAGTTAGGCCATGTTTGTTCCAGCCCCGCTATTTTTGTTATGAGGGGAAGGAAAATTCTAGACATACTTACCGGCACTGGAGACCTTCCTGCCCCATTTATTGTACCACAAGGCACTAAAATATAGCAAGACGGCCATCTAAATACACTCCTGATCTTAAAACAGAACAGGGAGGTTATTAAAGATGATAATACACCTGTAACAACACTACCCATTGCTCTAATGTTTATCAGGAATTGCTGTATAGTTGTGGTGTAATGTATCCTTATGTGATGTCTGTTTTGTTGGATAATTTCGCAGTCAAAGGGTGCGAAAAGAAGAGGACCGTTCAAGCCCTCGGACGGAAGTTTCTCGGACACCAGCGACAACAGCATCATCCGCCAGGTAAGACGACAAAAACACCTGTTCATCCTCCCAACCATCCGCCTGTCAATTTCTCTCCCATCCCTTTCCAAGATGGCTGCCGCTCCTCTTACATCCGCTGCCGACAAAAATCTTGTATCAAAAAGCGGGAAGAATGTTTCTTTTCGCTTTATCTTCCCAAGGGCGCGACAAAAGAAAACATTTCGTTGAAGAAAAAAGAGGTCAACACGGGCTTTGTATGCGGTAACAATAGTGCTACTATTCAGTAGGTATTCAATGGTGTGAATGGATTGGGGTGAGAGAGGGGGAGGGGCATTTAATGCAATAATAATTGAGTAGGCAGCCTCTTCATAGGGCCAGAGGTTCTTTACAGTTAATTGTTTCTGACAATACCAGGTGACGTTTATATTTGTATATTATGTAACCGGTTTATTAGAGTCTAAAATAGTTAAACTGTTGCTGTATATAGTATGGGTATGTGGGGTGAGTGTATGTGCGTGTGCAGGAATTACCATTGTGTGTGTCACATTTGATTAAGATATATGGATGCTTGTTTTTGTTCTGTGTGCGTTGTAAGTGGTGGCTACGTCGTAAAAATAAAACGTAAACAGCTACGGGGAAACGTTTATTCAATGCAACAAGTTGTGCTTTCCATGAAACTGTTTGCCCCACATTGACAAAAACCATATGCCTTGTTTTCTTTTACGATTTTACATTTAATGACTGTTGAAACTAGCCAGGTAGCAAATTTGCAATGTTACATTGTCATGTTCCTCATTTAATAATGTGTAGCATATTATTGAAGTCAACAGCAATTCAGATAGACTGTAATAATCCTTTTTTAAAGCAAGAAAGCCTGCACAATTTCATGTTTTTTTTAAACTGGAAAGCTAAAAAGTATAAATGCTAGTGTCAACTTGTATTTCCTGGTACATTGTATTATGAATCCACTTTTCCTGTATTGGTTTTAGACAGACATATTGTTTTTACAATAGGTATTGTCATTTCCTGTTGCAAAGATTTGCACCAAGGCAGAGACGGGAAATGGTAGCAACAAGTGCATTGTTCCTGGAACTGTGTACCCACCCAGTGCATGATGCCCAGAAGAAGGGATTATTTTGTCACGCGCCTGAAGTCACAAACAACAAGTTTAAAGTTACTCATTCAGTACACGTTCCAGTTTGTTTGGTTCATTTTTTACTAACTCATTTAGAATTCTTTAACTAACCTGTACAGAATTGTAACATAAAACTCTCAAAGAGCAACATTTATTTTATTGAAAGTTCATTGTCTGAATCGTTCACCCAATAGATTTGATAAACACAATCATGTAGTTGTTTATATCTTCCATTTATCATGTCGGCCTTGTCTCTTTATGATGTTAAGAATTCCTGAACTGCATGAAAATGACATGCTAGTTTTCAGTTATTTTAAGGTTTCCCTGAAGGGAAGATTGACAGGCAGAAAGACAGGAGTTCAAAAGGTCAGACAGGCACAGGAAATGGGGTGAATCTGAAGGTCCCAGGATCTGGGCAGGAGCCAGCAGGAATTAGAGGTAGACATGGGGGAATTCAGGAAGCCGAGGATTGCACGAGGGACCTTCCAACCTGCACAGTTCCTGTCCTACTCCAAATCAAAGTACATCATACAATGTTCAAGGTTTTTCCAGTAAATTCACAAAAACCCAAATTACTGTATGTCCTGAAAGTCTGAAATCTCTGATTTATTGTAGTGCATTTCTTGTATGGCCTTAATATTGTGGAAATGAGCAAAACCTATTTGTACCCTCCCATGAAGTTACATAACCCTTGCAATAAGCTATACACGTTGCTTGAATGTGTTTTATAACCCAGAAACAGAATGTAGGATTTGGAATAAGAGTTTTTCCATTTTTGTTATGTTTTACTGATAACAAATTTTGAGAAAATCTGCTTTTTGTGCTGATGCTGTCATTAGAAAAGTGAAGTTTATTAATCAATCCCTAATTGACAATCATAATCATAAGTCAGACATATATACATATGAAACTAGAAATATTTGCAAGCTGAAAATTGGATGGAGACAAAATCTACTTAACAGAAAAATGAGATGACACTGATGCTCTTTATCATAATATTCAGTAACTGACATTTCATGATTTCTTTTTAAAGTATATAAAAGCATATTTTAATAACATACACCAGGAAAGATTATCGTTATCTTGCACTGTTTTTCTTCTGCCAAATATCAATGTATGAAATGTCAGTTGTTATTTTTTGTGGCTAAATCCACTTTGCCCACATGCCCCAAGGGTTTAAGAGCAACAGGTATATTAATTTGGATGACTGTCAAAGGAATGAATGAATATATGAATATGTAATGAATCATGTAATAAATGATATGATGAATGAATGAATGGAAAAAGGTAAGTACGAGTAGTGTACATGTGTACCTTTTCATTTGGTGTACATACATGTATGATATATATGTATGTTACAGATTTTTTCCAGATACACTTGTATATATATCTAATCTGAAATGATTTTTTATGCCAATGTATTTAATGTACATTACATGCTACTGTAATTTACTTTTTGTTCACAGTTGCAAAATTTCACAGTATGACAAAAATGTGTTCATGAAACTACTTGTTCACGGTAGCTTCGAGAGGGGGAGGGGGGGAAAAGAGGAATGATTTTTAGCGATAATGACAGGTTCACGGACGTGACTATGAAAACCATGAACTTAAAAGTACATGTACCATGAAAAAATGAGGAATTACAATATGTGGTATCTTCACTTTTATGTAAAGGCAATAGAGTCAGATTCAACTTTTAGCAAGTCAAATAATTTGTCTACTTGTATTTGATCAACTAGTATGTCAACGTATGTGGTATTTATGGCAGCTACAATGTACTTTGATCTCATTCAGAAGTTGAAAGACTTGTCTTACCACTGCTTTGCATAGCTAACAGCAAGCATTGTGTGGAACTAGGTATTGAAGAGGCCCCTACTGTATTTGTGAGGTGGAACTAACGTAGTTGTGGAGTTGATCCTACTTGCTGTAAGGTGGTATGGTGGTCTTGTGGTTAGAGTTGTTGACTCAGAATCCCAATTGTAAGGTTCTGGATTTGAATCCCTGGCAGGCCCCAATGTTTTGTCCTTGGCGAAGGCACTTTACAGCTATTTCCTCGTGTGAGTCAGGTGAAAATGAGTACCTAGCTTCTGATAGGGATGTCTTCTTGGATAGAGCATAAAACTGGAGGTCCCGTGTTTGAGGAGAGTCACACCATGAGCATGTTCATCATAAAAAAGTAGTCACTTTCTTGTTTTGTCTAACACAATTGGAGATGAACTTTTTGCCAGTCTTGGGCTTCTTTTGGTGAAATATCTTTTCCAGTTCCAGTGGTTACTTGTCGTAACCGGCACTAACCTCTGTAATCATATTTAGTTTCCGCATCTGTCGGTTACTACTAGTAGTATCCTATCTATCCAAGCACTTACGAAGTTCGAAAGGGTGTGGTATTTTAATCTTAAACTCGAGCAGAGCGCCCTGCACTAGAGAGGTACAGAAAAAGGTATAAAATGAGGAGTTGTTCGGTAAGTAATGTCGAAACCGGTGGAATTCAGTCTCATCGCTGTCATTTTCCCAACGCTACGATTCATGGTATGGCTGAAGTACTAGTATATTGTTTTTCCTCATGTTTCTTCTTCTTCTCCTTCTCCAAAAATTATTTTGGAATGTTCTACTTTTGCACAGGGGTGAGTTTGGAACAGTCCATTTTTGTTTCTCCTCAGGGTTCTTCTCCTTCTCCTGCCATTTATTTAAATGTATTCAATTTCTTCATTTTTAGGCCAAATAAACTGAAATTTGGTATAGGGGTAGAGCGGAAAATACCAAAAGAAAGAAAGTCTGCAAATTATTTGTTAGTGGTAATGATAAGTCTGGGGTACAGAAGTGACGACAAAAAACGCGAAAATAAAAGTACCGCAAACATAGTGATTTACAGTACACTCCTTTAGCGGCCCATCCCCATTCCTCCAACCCAGCGTATTTACATTGACTTATGCATTCCAAAGCTGACGTTCGACTTGTTGCCTATGAGGATGTGAAATGTTTTATGCATGCTCCTTTTGGCATCTTCAGCTAGCTGCTTCTATGTTCACACACGTCTGCCACGTCGATGTGTGCATCTAATCCTGCTGACACAGATTTTTAAACAGCACTCCTAGCTTGTTTTCACTCTGGAATAATATTATAAAAGCAGGACGAACTGTACATACTTCATTCTCCAAAGTTGAATGAACTGGAAGGGCTAGAAATACCACCTGCATATATGCAGGTTAGTGCAGGTAAAATTGGAGCTGTGCAGGTATTTCTGAAGTATCTACCTGCACCTAACCTGCAGCAGTCCATGTACTGGGTTTATATGTACATGTAGGTGTATGTGGGTTTTTATTTGCTGCATTAACTGTTATCACCTATGAAGCATATTTAAGAAATAATATCAATAGGTTCTGAAGAGTTTTTATGTAGTGTGAGCTGTACACCTAAATTCTGAGTGGTGCAGGTAAAACTTGTCTTGTGCATGTATGCATAAAAAGGGATTTTGAGCCCTGAGTGAACATCTATATACCCATATATTGTGTTATAGATTTATTTATTTATTTCCGTGATTTTTATACAGGGTAACCCAATTCAGTGATGGCACTGCTTTTCAACGGGGCCCTGTATACCTGTATCCTGATTATTCAGGATCCTTCAGTTTTGCTGACTTTTGAAAAAACGAGGAAATTTTGCCATGTGTGTGAGTGGGTGTGTCCCAGTTTGGACTGGTTTGACAAGTTAGGCAAGGTGGGAGTTTCACCTAGTATTCTCAGAAACCATCTCTAGGTCTCTGTTGCTGTTGTTTTCCAGAGGCAGACTTTTGAGTTTTGAAATGCTAAAAAAAAATGCTCAATAGTCTTGGACCAAGAAGAACCAAGGGAATTATAGATGTAGAAGTAGAAACATTTCCCTAGAAACTTGCATAGGAAATTGA